CCATGAACCACCATGGAAAAGGGAAACTGATTTCAAGTGGGGAATGTGCTCAACTGATAAGAGGACTGAAGTTAACTCCATGATTAGAGGAGCGGAATTGTAAGGGCTTCTGTAACTTAAAACACTGTGCTTGATAAGTGGCAGTGCCCTATAGTAAGAAGAGTCCTCAACTTTTCCCAGGAGGAATAAAGGACTGGCCAGAACCTTCCAGTGAATAATAGGGCTCTGAGGTCATGTCGAGCTTAAACAAAACTATTTTACTGAAGGGAATGCACTGAGTATTCTCACGGATAGCATCCCAGAAAGTAACCAGGAAGCATGTGGGTCCATAAAAGAAGACCTTAGTCTAGAGCAGCCTTTCTTAACCTTGGGTTCTTGAAGTTCTTGAAGTACAACTCCCCTCATCCCTGGCCACTGTCCATGCTGACTAGGGATCATGGGAGTTGGAGGGACCCAAGGCTGAGAAAGCTGGTCTAGACTGAGATGCCTTAGAGAACTACCTTTCCCAGGTTCTCTGATGACTGAACACTGCTAGGAACATAGAAAGAGCCTTCTGGATCAAGCCAGTAGCCCATCTAGTCTAGTATCTTGTTCTCACAATGGCCAGTCAGATGCCTATGGGAAGCCCATATGCAGGACCCCTCCTGCAGTTTCCAGCAAATGGTATTCAGAAGGATGCTGCCTCCAGCAGTAAAGGCAGACCATCAGGGTTAGTAGCGCTTTAGTGGCGCTGAAACAGCAATCTAGTTACCAGGGAGGGAGAGTTATCCCACCAGTTTCCAGAGACACCTTTCTGATTCCCTACTGGTGTCTTGGCCTCCAGATGGATTTGAGAGAAGCAGGCTGGCAGAAATGACAGGCGAAGCCCAATATGGGCCAGGCCTAAATTTGAAAGGGTCTGGGTTTGTTCCATATTGGGATGAACCTTCTTGAACTAGGATAAGGTTGCTTGTACTCCAAACAACCTATCCAGCTTTCCAACAAGCAAATGACTGTTTTTTGCTTCTGTAACTTGGGCTCACAGGATAGCTCCCAAATTTCCAGACATCTGGGAAAGAGTTTGGTGTGCTAAACTCCTGCAGCGATGAGTTCTGTCTTTGGGAGGTTGGATCAAACTCTTAAAGAAGGGACTCCTGGGGGGATCTCAAAAATTTACCACCAGCATCCAAGAGATTGTCAGCCTGGATTTAGGGTGTACTTTCTTATGTACAAGTAGCTGGTACTATTAAATGTGTTCCAGTTACACTGACACTCCAAAGTGGTCTGTACTTAGCAATTAAAGAGCCACAGAGGAATTGAAGAATTAGAGGCTTCCTTCCAAGGCGCTGCTAACTATTGTTTATGCAGCCTTAAAACCACAAAGCCCATGATGCAACTTGACCAGGAATGCACAGGATTGAGTGCAAGTTCATGCCATTAATATATTTAAGAAATTTTGCGTGTGGATAAGAGCACGAGGCCTTTGATTAAAGAATGCAACTGAGAACACATGGGAGGCATGGAGACACAATGGGAAGCAGCTGAAATGGAAAATGGCAGATGAGCCTGGAGACATGAACTGGAAATGAAATTCATCTATGACCAAGTACACCACTGTACCAACCTACCCACTTGTTCTGACAAAAGAACAAAGACACCCGCTTCTGAAAAGCAACAGGTAAAAAATGTTGGAGTTTGGTATCATCACAGTGGAGTGCAAAAATAGAGAGTCTAGTAAGAGTGCAGGTTGAAAGAATAGAGAAGGTCTATTCCTCATAGCAAACAGTCATTCTGTGCATAAGCTTATAGGTGGCCAATATGGAGTCAAGAGGTTAACACTAACGCTTGCTAACACTAATGGACTTGGAGAAGAAGTAGGAAGGAAGGAAGCCTGAGAACCCAGGCCACATATCAACAAGTACCAGTAGTTCTTTAAGGAAGAATCTACAAGAAAAGGATAGGCTGCCTTTCTGTCTATTGCCCCTGACTGGTTCAGGTAACTTATTGCAAGCGTTGTTGCTTTCCTCATAACTAAGGAGGGTGCCTTGCTTGTTTCCCAAGGGCTCCAAGAAGATGAGGAGAGAGGCCATAGCTCAGTGGTGGAGCAGGTGATTTTTGCAAGTAGAAGGTCCAAGATTCAACCCTCAGTATCTCAAGTTAAAAAGAGAGAGAGAGATCAGGTAGCAACTGATGAGAAAGACCTCTGCCTAAGACCCCGGGGGAATAGGCAATGCTGGACCAAAACAGGCAAATAGTCTGACGTAATATAACTAAAAGCAATCCTATTTGCAAGGAGCTCAAAGTGGCATCCAGGAAGGTAGAAGAGCCAAACCTGGTTAACTGCAGCCATAGAACTACATCAAGTGCCTGTGGACCATTTTTTAACCTGATGGTTCTTAAAAGGTATGTCTTATGGGTGTGATCTGGAACGAACTGCACTAGCATCACGTGGCTTGCTGGGACCATTGATGCATTCACACACGTATATTTACACTGGCTCCATGCAAAGGGAAACGTTCCCCTTCTTGTATTTTTAGCTGCAATGACTTCATGCTTCCAGAGCTGCATTTCCTTCATTAAAATGTACACACCTCATTGAGGATTCCCCAAATAGAACAGTGCCGCGAGACTATATGCTAAGCGGAGTAGCCAGGCAACGGCTGCATCAAGAGACTGAAGGCTCATTCACCAGAGGGTGTTTCCAAAGTAGCTCTTGGCCCAAGGATGGTTTCGCCTGTTTACATGGTGCTGCCAACACTGATCAAGCTACGTGCGCAGCATGTGCTGGAGGCTTGGTGAAGGCAGGAGCTTTTTTCATGTACAAGGCATTTTCTGTGTGAATGCCAGGTATCCACAGCATAGTGTTAGAGGGCCCAACTAGGACCTGGGAGACTGGGGTTCAGCTGCTCGCTCAGCTGTGAAGCTCATGGGGCCAGACACTATCACTTCGTCTAGCTCACAGGATTCTTGTGAGGTGAAAATGAAAATGGGGAGAATCATGCGTTGCCCCTTGAGTTGCTTGGAGAGAAAGGTGGGGTGACTGACCTCAGCTGTATATTCCACTGATTAAATTTTATATTGATTGTTGTGGTATATTCTTATACTGTATGGTGTTTCGGTGTTTTTATCTTAAACAGTACATAAGTGCTAAATCAGGCATAGGCAAACTCCGGCCCTCCAGATGTTTGGGACTAAAATTCCCACCATCCCTGACCACTGGTCCTGTTAGCTAGGGATGATGGGAATTGTAGTCCCAAACATCTGGAGGGCTGGAGTTTGCCTATGCCTGTGCTAAATGAAATAGTGGTGAGCAGTGGTGGCTTCCCCTTTCCGCCCCTGTTTTTTAACAGGGGGAAAATGTAGCTAGACTGCTGCTTGGGACAACGCTTCTCAGTAGCCAGCATAGGGCACCCTCTTCAGCTGAATCTCTGTAGAAGGATGGCAGACCAGGAGTAGGCACCGACACAATTCAGATTTGTGCATCTGCTTTGGCTCTTACTAGAACCATGAGGCCCACCAAGTGCAAAATTGTGGCTCAGCTTGGTTGCATTCAACTAACTGCTACTCAGAGTAAGCCCACTGAAATTAATGGAGCAACATTACTCTTGGCTATTAATTTCAGTGGGTCTACTCCACTGATGGTGCTTATTAAGAAGAAAGGGTGAGGGTGCCTCTGAATACATACTCACTCAGGGAATTTGTGATCAGGACAGTATACTTTCCCCAGCAATCTAATCTGGGGGAGAAGGTGCGGGGAGTTTTGGTTTGTTGCTGTTGTTAGAGAATAGGGAGTCAGAAGGCCTTGCCAATCTAACAAACATCACCCAGAGATTTGCCAGTAGATCCCAATCTACGTTCTGCCCGGCTACACTCTGAACAGCATGTCAACAATCTGTACAACTGCCTCTACAAAAATTGACTAAGATCCAGACACTGTTTGTACTCTGCACTGAAAAGGAAAGAAAAATTATGCCACAAGGTAATCACATGGTTTCAAGAAAAGCAACCTTCCTCTGTTTCATGTGTATATTTTGCACATAATAAACTTGTACGGCTGTTGTCATGCAACAGTTCACTAGGCCCCTGACTCATGGTGCTGTGAACGACATCAAGATGGCAGACTGGGTTCTCAGAGATGCTGCACCATCAGAGGCTGAGGAGGAGTGAACTAGAGAATGGAGGCTTCTTATTTCCTATAGAATTCGCCAAAAATCTGCAGGGGGTGTCTAAGTCCATTTTCATAATGGCACTTAACATTTGGAGCAATCTAGCCCTGGGTTACCAATGAAGTGCCCACCAAAAGTTGTTGGAATACAGTTCCCATTACCTTAGTCAGCATGGCCAATGGACAGAACTACAATGGAAATTGTAGTTCAACACACACACACCCCCAAAAATCTGGAGGGTGCTATGAATTCAATGGGAGAGAATTAAGCCTTGCTTAAAGATGTGCCATCAAAAACAGCAAACCTTAAAAGCACTTAACTTTGGCTGGATCATGCTCATTCTTCATACTGCATGCTGTGAGAATATGAATGTGGTCTCACTAAAAGCTCACTACATCTTCCATAAATGTGTCCGGTTTGTTATTAAATATTGTTTTACAAGAGCATCAATCCAAGTCAAGGATTGACTTCTACACACCTTCCACCCAGTAGTGACCTGATTGGCTGAAGTCTTTTCCAGTATTCTCTATAAAATAAATTGGCACCGAGAAAAACAGAACATTCTCTCAATGAGCATGACCCACTCCCTCCTTTATGCATCCAATATGTCACTCCAAGAGCTCAGGCTTTGATCACGAGGACATGCGTATAGCAGACTGCAACCCTAAAGATTTAATAGTGCTCCTTAATACAGCTACTTGTGTCTGTTGACATAGGGAAATTCCAACTGGCCTGACTACTGAATGGAACTGAAATACAAAAATGTAATGATATTTATATACCCCCACAGCTGCCAGCAAACTCACATGCGTCATGAGTCATTCCAGATGTGGATATAAAACAGAGCCCGTCTGTGCAAATGAATTCCCTGATCCCAAAGAGACTTGGTTTAAGGCGAGGTGCCGCTAGTTTGTCAGGAAAAAAATTGCGCTCAGCAAGTTTTTCCTGCTACCAGGAGGGAAGAGGAGAAGAATTTGCTGGCTGTTACAGATACAAGGAGAAGGTTGGGAAGAAAGGCCTAACCTATAGGCACAACTAGGGCACTATTTTTGGACAATCAAGGATGCACTTGAAGACGGTGCTGCTGCTATTGTTATATTACAATGTTCATGCCACTGTGCCTCCCAGGTGGAACCGAGGTAAGAGTTATAAATATAAATTGCTTACAGCAGAGAAACAGAGGTGTTGCACAGGAGAGATCAATTGAGGGCTCCCTTTCCTCAACTTCCTCTACCAGCTCTTGAGAGTGGTCTGCATATTTGTTTGTTTGCTTATGTTCGTCTATTCTCATCCACTTCATACAACAGCCCCCTGTTTTCTTTCTTGCAAAAAATTAACTTTAATGTAGATTCTCTTCCAGCTGTAAAAGGTGGACATTGAAACCACAGGGTCCCTATCTGGAATTAAGTCCTGTAAACGAACACTACTAATTGGTCTCATATGTTTTTATGTGGACTCTGTTCACACAAACAGAAACCCTCCAAGCCAAAGACCTGAACTGATTTTTTTTGCTACGCTCAACCACATGCAGATGTGCATTTGAGCCTGGCTGATTTTAAACACATTGCGGTGGAATCCTATCTTGAGCTCTGCTTTTTCTCGCAATGTAAAGGGAAATTAAGGAAGAACGGTTGATTCCTCTTTTAAAGAAATGTTGGCGTGCCTCTTTTATTTCAACTTAACTTCACACGCACCCAGCTGTCACCATTATTTATTATATGTATATTTATTATATGTATATCACCATTCTTTTATTGATCTCAAAGAAGCTTGCAAAACCAGAGCCAGAACTGCTTAGCTTCAGCAAGGGGTCTCTGTACCATGTGCCTTTAAACCCAGCTCTGGGCCTCATCTCATCTTAGGAAAGCTAAGTAGCAGCATTTCTAAAAAGAGGAGTGTATATTATTCATCCACCTCTATTCATATATTACCGCAGCAGCTTAGAAGCAACTTCCCTATAGCTTCATCCTATGTCACCACCTAGGTGTGAGCGCAGAAAGGCAGGCAATGGCCCTGATACATTGCACCTTAAAATGATCAACTATAGCATGGCCCCATTTGATGACACCAGAGCAATACTTCAGATTGGCTCCTGTTGTGGGTTCTGGTTGCAAACACTGTGCTGCTGTGGCAATCCTTGTACTCCATCTAATACATTCACTTGCTGATATACTTGGGCTGTCCCAAAGGAGGACTCCAGAAAGCTTCTGGAGTTGTTCTGGGAATTTAAAAAGGGAGTTTAAAAATGGATAATACTTTTTCACTTTTTCACAGTGGAGATGTAACCACCTAGGTGTGAGCGCAGAAAAAAAGGCAAGGCTAAATTGGGATTGAGCCATACAACTCCCCTGACATGGTCTTCCATTTTTCTGAACCTGGTGCCCTCCAGATACTATGGACTAGAACTCTCACCAGCCTCAGTCACCAATGACCATTATTTGCACAACATACGGCATGGACTAGTTGGGGGGAAGATTGATTGACATATTATTAGGATGTTGCTGCAGTCCTGTATAATTGGGATCAGGTGGAACATGAATCTGCCCCAGAACCAGAATGCTTACATGCAAAGTGGTGGTACAGAATGCATTGTATGCCTGCGAACCAACAGAATCATTCAATGCTTCTCAAAGCTTATCCTGCTGTGTTGCTTGTTGCTATCAGTTCCGATAAGAAAAGTTGACTTACTTCTGAAGGTGATAGCATAGTGCCAAAGGCATTTGCTCCAGGTAGCCAAAATGACACTTGGTTATGGTGTGCAACCTCCCCAGCCCTGCCTCTGTGCGTCCATTCATCTGCCGCATAACAATTTCTCATGGCACTGATACGTCACACCTTAAAATGATCAACTATAGCATAGAAAGCTTCTGGAGTCCTTCTGGGAATTTTAAAAGCCAATGGGAGTTTAAAAATGGATAATACTTTTTTACTATTAAAAGTGCAGATGTCAGAATGAGAACTTTTTACTTAATCTAGGTTCAGCCTGGGTTGTTACCATCACATACATGTAAAAAAATTAATCTGTAGCAACACAGAGATCTACATTCCTTTCTAGGTTATCCAGAAATCAGTCAGGCCAGACACATGTGTAGAAGGTGAATAAGTGAAATGCAGGAGCCATGGTGCTTAACACACATGAGTCAGTGTTCTCCGCGCCAGTTGGGTGGCCATGAACCAATTTGGAGAGCCTGCTGGGGGCTAGCCTGGTTAGCTTTGGCTCCATCAATGGCTCTTCTGGTGACTCACTGGTAGACAGCCAGTTTTTGTGCCAAGGAATTCTGAATGGAGGAAGGAGATCCAGCAGTTGGGGCTCTTACACTTGAGTGCAGGGATGGGAAACCATTTTCAGCCTAAGGGCTGCATTCCTTTCTGGGCATTTTTCCAGGGAACCATGCTGGTGGTGGGTGGGGCCAGATGCAAAAGTGGGCAGGGCATCAAAGGTCAGTTCCCCCTTTGTACCATAGGCTGGTTTCTACACCCACCCACCCATCACACCATCCCGTACCCCTCAACTATCTCAACTTGAGCCGGACATCTCAGAATTACAGAACCCATCCTGGCTTCTGATTGGATCCCGGAATGTCCCCTTTTTTTGGTCCAGCGCTCTGGTGCAAGTCAGCTGGCTCCCGCGAGAACTTGGGGGGGGGGCAAAAGAAAAATGAGCATCCTGGTTTTGATCAGTGAGATGTTGGAGAGTATGCCATCCAGTTAAGCCAAAAGCAGGATCAGAGTCCAAGGTCACGAGCTGGTCAGGCCAACCGCTCCCCACAATCTCAAGGAGGATGCAGAGTCGGGGCAGTGATGTGTGTGAGCTGGGGAGACTCCCAAGGGCCACATTTGGCCCTTGGAACTGAGATTCCACTTCCCTTCCTGAGTACACAGCAGTGATGGCATAAGTGGCCTTCACAAGAGTTGTGGTGCACTTGGCAGTTGCCCTCCTGCATGGTGCTAAAGTATATTCTTTATTTTTATTTTTAATACATATATATCTCACCTTTTCTCCAAAAATCTCAAGGGGGAATGCTTAATTTTCTTCCTCCCCATTTTATCCTCACAACAACCCTGTGAGGTAGGTTAGCCTGAAAGTGACAGGCCCAGGGTCACCCAGCAAGCTTCTTGGCTGTGTGGTAATTTGAACACTGGTCTCCCAAGTCCTAGTTCAACACTCTAACCACTGTGCCGCCATCTGGCAAGCACACTGGGCCTCTCGTTCAGTGGCAGGGGCTAAAAGCCTCCCTTTTGACACTGCTTGTCTCTAAGGTATATTAGCAGGACTCCTTCAATTGTCACTCCATATCACTCCCAGTGCTGGGGTACCGTACACGTTCATTTCTTGGGGTTATTGAGGATTTGTGAGCATCATTTAGAGCAAAAAAAGCATGGTCACTTATTTGTGTGTTGTACTGTTTATGGAGGCAGGCAAACGACCACTTGCAATAATCATCTTGCTCATATACAGGGGGCCGGATCCATCTCTACTCATGTGCAAGAACCAATGGCCCCAATTAGGAATGCCTGACCCCGTCTGCATGAAAAGGCACATCCGGAGACGTAGATTGGGAAGCAGATGAGTTTCAGCTGGATGTGCTTCTGTGTCCTCAGATCCCCCTTAGAGAACTGGATATTTAACTAACGGGAGTTTCCCTTTTCGTTTCTGCTGGGATCAAAATGTTCCACTGCGTTCGAAAAAGCTCCCTGGAAATGTTTAGAGCTTGGTATGGAATATGGCAATATCTGGTTCGTTTTGCTGGTGATTAATAGTGGGGGCATTGTTAAGGGGTGGCCAGGACCCAGATTGCTTGCCCTTCCCACTTTTTAATGTAAAATGTGGCTTACAGGGCAACTGATCACGCTTCAAGGCCATAGAGACCCCAGTTTCCTTAAGGTGCCCAAAGGCATCTATGCTTGTAAATTAGCAGATTCCAGATGGCATTTTACCAGGAGTCCTTTAAGCACTGCTAGGTAATAGGGAAAGTCAAGTTCATGGGTTACTTTGAGGTCCATGTGGCTAAAATGAAAAAAAAGAAGAAGTCTGTAATAATGTCCTAACCTGTTTGATCTCTCCGCTGTTATTTGGCACTGGGTCTGTGTTTGCTTTGATTGCACTGTCTGTAATGGAGAAGAAAAACACTTCTTAGCCAAGATTGTTGGGACTGCCCCAAAATCCACAGGTTTTCAAGAGAACTTTGGCTTACAGGACAAGTTTAATTTGTAATTTTTTAAAAAATTAAAAGAGAGAAAGCCTTTGCCTGATTTGGATATTTTGAAACAAATTTGTCCATAGAATTATACAGTTTTATGGGGTATCGTAGGTCAACTAGTCCAACTCCCTGCTTGTTGCGGGAAACCCAGAGATAGAGAGATGACACCCTTTAGGTGTCACAAGATGGCAACTTCCATCATTCTTGTCCGTTGGTTGTGCTGGTTGGGACTTGTGAAAGTTGGAATCCAACAACATCTAGAGGACCACAGCCGCTGCCCGGTGCCATTCCACTTGAAGACCTCCAATGACAGAGGGTCCATACACTCACTCACTCAAAATTCAGTTCTCCGCACTTCCATATCACTTTGTGGGGTGGGGGGTGGGGCGGATTTAGTCCTTATGAAAATCCTTCACCTTTTCCATGCAAATTTCTCCTAATATAAACATTTTTGTATGCACTTCCCCCTGTGAACTTTGAAGGATACCTGTGTCTCAGAGAATGCAGATCTGGCATAGCTGTGTTCACACATTGTTTTTGAGAAATTTGGCAGGTTCCCCTTTCAATGCAAACTGGATCAAATTTCAACCACCACCCCCATCCCTACCAGTGAGTAATTGATTCCATTGTCCAAACTGCTTTTTGCTGTTATCTTACTGTTCAGCTGAAATCTTTCATCCTGGAATTTAAGCTCCTTAGATCATGCGCTGTTCCTTGGGGCAACAAACAAGTCTTTGCCCTCTTTCTAGGTGGAATCCTTTGGAGAGTTGGGACTAGATCCTTAGGGATCCCTTCCAACTCTATGATTCTATGCTTCAGGTATCCAAAGTATGCCTACACTCGAGTAGGACCCTGGCAGAGACACATGCCCAACTGGCATGTTCTCTCCCTCCTGGTCTTTTGTTCGGGAGCTTCAAAAGCTTTCTTCAGCCCGAACATCTTAGCGACCGATGCCAACCGACACCAGCACACTTAAGGATCTGCAGAGTCTTCGGAGCATTGCATGACAGACCTCAGCAACTCAGCATTTTGGCTAATCTACTTTATTTACAAATAAACACACATAGAGCACTGCAATATGGCTCCCTGTCTCTAGCATCAGACAGCAAAGAGAAAGAACAAAGGACAATAGTCCCACTTCACAGAACACAGTAACATAAACATCCTGTCTCTGTCACTTCCCACTTTGTGGAGTCAAAACATATACGGTCATGTGAAAGACAACAATCCCATGACTGCAATAATGGAGCAGGAATTCTAACAGTTCCGCCTCACTCTGCTCCGCTTCTCCAAGTTAAACATACTGAGCTCCTTTACCTCTTTTCTTCACAAGACCTATTTTCCAATTTCCATCTTTGTTGACCTCCTTTGGACCACTTTTTCTACAGCAAAGATGGGGAGCTTGTGACCCCCATATGTTATTGGATTACCTCTCCCATCAGCCCCTGCTCTATGTCCTTCTCAAAGTGCAGTGCCCTTCTTTATTCCAAGCTTGTTGCTGAATCAATGAGACATCATGGCTTGGTTGCAGTGCAGTGTGGGGAAGAGGTGGGTGGGATATTATTATCCCCCCATATTTTTAGTGGCCAAAATTTGGTGCGGCACTAATCTGAACGCTTAAAAAAATGTATTTCTCCCCCCCTCCCCAAGAAGCTGTAAACGAACAATAATTATCCATTGTCAGTTGAATCAGGGCAGGATATATTAAGGACAGATGTCTCTAATGAGCCATATGCAGCATTCTCCATGGAATGAGGACTATGCGGTCAGTGACATCTGAAAAAATGGGTTGCCTGCACACGGCAAATCCAGCTAATTATTAACATTTAGGGTTCATTGTGAATAAGTGCAGCATGAAATAACCACAGAGATGTGGTAGATATTTTTGGAACGACTTGTCTGCCAATCCTGGCTAGGGTTGCCAAATGTCAAGGTTTTAGCCTCCTTCTCAGTGTCCCTAGGAAAAGGAATAAAATCTCAAGAAGAAGCTGTTTTTTCTCAGGCTGTCTCTATCCCAACCAACCATTCGGCTGGTTCAAGTATCCTGAAGCTTTGCAAAAAGGTTACATTAGGCTAAAATGCAGTCAAAGCAGTGTATATTTGGACTAGGTTTGCACTAAAATGCAGATGTATTATCACAAAGGCTTTTTTTTAAAATGCAAACTGATGTGGAAATGTGGAGGATTGAATTTAAGATTGGAAAAAGAAGAGACAGGGAGCAACCTAAATTGTCAGATTTGCCCATCTTTATGTGGCAAGATGATTGTCAGATTTACTCATCCCTACCTGAATCATAGAATCATAAATGTTTAGAGTTGTTGAGGACCCTGAGGGTCATCTAGCCCAACCCCCTGAAATGCAGAAATCTCAACTAAAGCATCCATGACAGATGGCCATCCAATCGCTGCTTTAAAAGCACCTGGGAATAAGATCACCCATCCCACTGAATTCAGTAGGAAATACCTCTGAGTGGACCTGCACTTTTAGTCTGGATCTAACCCCAGATCAGTCTGGATCAAACCCAATACCTCTAATTCCACATAAATGCAAATATTCACAGACACTTACAGAAGCTTCTTGTCTACAGGGTCACACTTTTGGCTTGCCTGAGGTTATGATTATCTTTTCCACGGCTCTGCCCCAAGAATAAAAACAAATCATGCCTAGCTGGAATTGGCACTCAGTGAAGTTCCACAGACCAGCTATTATTCTGATTCATTTTTAAATAAGAGTACTGCTTTCTAAGATTATGAAAGAGCTGAATTCATATAAGCAGGAGACAGTAGACTCCTTTTGCAGCATAAAATCTGCTCCTCCTCCTTCTAGAGGGAGAAGAGGGAGTGATTCCACCCGCAATAGCCTAGCCTGCTGACCACTCCCTTTCTCAAACCCACCTAAGGGCAATTTTTGCCAGACGCACGAGAGCCTGAGGGCTCTTAGCCATTAGGCCCATTGCCAGGGCCTCACCTTCTTTAGGAGGAAAAGAGCAGAGAACACTGTAATGAGAGCAGCATTTGGAGAGATCGCTTGTTCTCTGTCTGGAGTCTGGCTTTATGTCATGTTCTCTGAAGAGATCATTTGGTGGAGTCTGGTTTTCCTTTCTAGACTTCCTGGAAAATGGAGGCACCCCACCCTTAATTCCATGATGGTGGGGCTCATCTGCTGAGCCAAACTGCCCCATGACGTCAAGTGTTTCCTCCTGCTTGGAATGAATTCCTTACAGTGAAACAATTTTGCATACATCTGTGCTGTTTCAAAGGATTTGCAGCACAATCCTACATAATTCAGTCGGGCTTATGCCCAGGTAAGTGGAGTTGGGGCCTCATCTTTAAATCTGCATCTTCAGATTTCAAAGCATTCTACAAATTGCAGCTGTGATTGAATTTGGGAAGTACCGTATTTTTTGCTCTATAAGACTCACTTTTTCCCTCCTAAAAAGTAAGGGGAAATGTGTGTGCGTCTTATGGAGCAAATGCAGGCTGTGCAGCTATCGCAGAAGCCAGAACAGCAAGAGGGATTGCTGCTTTCACTGCACAGCGATCCCTCTTGCTGTTCTGGCTTCTGAGATTCAGATTTTTTTTTCTTGTTTTCCTCCTCCAAAAACTAGGTGCGTCTTGTGGTCTGGTGCGTCTTATAGAGCGAAAAATATGGTATGTGGGATAATTCTCTTCCTCCCTGTCCATTCTCTGTCCTCTGAAAGGATATTGCATGATCACTTCATCTAATAGCAACTTAGGTGTATTTAGGTAATTTGAGACTGGGCTTAATGGCCTCTCTAAAGATTAGGGATGGGGAACCTATGGCCCTCCAGATCTTGCTGGACTACAGCTCCCATTGTCCCTGGCCACTGCTGCATTACATCACTTCCTTCAAAATGTGGCACACCAGTCCTGTTGCATTCAGCGGACCCTCTTGCCCATTCTGCTGACTGGGTTCCTGGGTTTGTACCCCCAAATCCTGCCCTGGCAGCATCAGCAGACATATAAACACATTTTTGCTAGTCAGGACCAGTTCTTGCATTCTATTTCTTAGAAGCATTAACTTCTAAGCAAAACGATTGCCTTTTTAAAATATATGACTAGCTTCCCGCTCCAGACACCCTGTTTATCAAGCATTCATTCCGATTTTCTTGCGCAAAGCTTAAGCAGAGATGAGATTATATACAGTATTTATTGAGCATTTGTTCTGATTTGTTTGGTGAGTGGTTATATGGCAATGAGTATTTGTCCTTCATTCATTTTGCTTTGCTTGCAAGGTGTTTATGCCTGCTGGTCATTCAGTCATTCCACACTTTTCAGTGCATGCTCCTGTCATTCTCCAAACTGCAAAGAAGCCTGATTCTTTTTGAAAGTGGATTTGTTGTGCTAGAGCAAGAGAGCAATTTGATCTATTTTGAGTGTGGAAAACTAAAGTTTTGGTGTGCGGATGAATCCTTCCTGCAAAATAGTGACAGTCTAGAGGCACCCCAGCAAAATGCCTATAATTTATGACATAATACCAGTGAGATCACGGTCAGGGTGCTGACGACCTAGTGCCGAGAGTGGAAGGTAGATTTATCTTCCCCATGGGAGTGAAAATCAACTGTCCTTTAACAGTAGGAATTGATAGCTGAGCAAAGAACCATAATTTGGATTATAAGATTCTTGCTTTAATAAAAATTCCTTAAATACTGAAAAAAAGGGGAGGGGAATGGATGTATTTTGGGATGCCATACTGCAACATTTAGAGATGTGGAAAATCCAGTGGATGCTTATATTCTCCTTCAGGAGGTGCAGTTAAAAGCAGTTCGCATTGGAATTTGCAATGGTCAGATTCTGTCACCGTGCCAACACAAATAGTGGAGGCCATGTCAACAGTCCCCACCTGAAAGTACTGTCTGATGCAACCAGCATCTCCATGTGATGCCCACCAGGAAGAGTGGCCAGTTATCCTCTTTCATGCTGGTTTCCCACTGCTTGTCTTCTTTCGCTGTGTGCCTGGCAGGCAGCAAAGCCAATGCACTTTGAATTAAGCAATTTCCCAGGGCCATTTGAGGATTTACACGGTGCACAGCACCGCAGCGGGCTGGCAGTGGCTGCAGCAGGATGAAGTGCTGGCTTGTTTCTGAATTGAAAGCACCCACCATGCCTTCACCCACTGACCACCTCCTTCCATAGTAAAAAGAAAGAAACCAGAACCAGCAGAGGTGTTCTAGGTTATTGTGCAAGCTACACCTGATGTTGCTAGACTCTAAATCCTATCAGCCCGGATCATTGGCCATGTTGTATGGGATTGATGGGAGTTGGAGTCCTCCAGTGCAAGGGTAACCACTGGTTCCCCATCCCTACTTTAGCGGGCTTGTTCGATCTGCCTACAGGCAGACATTCCTTATAGTATGGATGTGGAAGCTATGGCTATCTGGATGCTCTTGAACTCCGAACCCCATCAATTCCAGATAGCATGACTGAGGGAGGTTCTTCAACAACACCTGGAGGGTCACACATCTGGTTAAAATATTAGAACAGTAAGAAAACCACCAAGAAGCAGTGGGATCAGGGCACAGCAGAAGGGCACAGCCAGGTTCAGTCCCTGCCCTCCCCAATTAAAATAGGGATTAGCAGCTGGTGATGGGAAAGACTATATGCTGGAGATCCCAGAAAGCCATTGCAAGTCATAGTAACTGCTGCCTCCCACATTGTTTTTGCTGCAATAGCAGCACTAAAGTGACCAGCACTGAAGTGACCTCTCTGGGACGCAATCTTGGGCATCATGTGTGGAGGTCCTGGGCTGCCCAGAGAGCAAGACTTTGGACTCATTGATGTGGTCCAAAGCAAAGCAGAGCATTAATTGTGCTGAGAGTTTCCCAATTCGTTGTATTTTGAAATCCAGTCCTATGCTGGATCAGGGATCTCCTGTCTCCCAAGCAGTCACAATTACTGTACATGATGTGAGTCGGAGGCATCATTAAAATAAATTAGTGCATGTTGAGATGAAATAATTGTTTTACATAAACTCCTCCAGGGGAAGAAGATGGAGATGGCAAATCGCATTAATCCTGCCATCCTATTCTCTGATACGGAACAAGTGTCACAGCTTTGCGTTGGTGTAGAGGGAAGCCGAGTCAGCAGAAAAGTTTCTGCATGGTTTTGTAAACACTGGGCCAAATACTGGCGGCACATGTTTCTCCATCTCAAGACTGTTTTTGTTTTTGCACAATTTGCAAAATGAATCACTGGCAATTGGTGATGATGCATTTACTGAGTAAAGCCTAAGGAAGAGCAAGCTAACAAAACAAGAAACCACGTGCATAAATGGGAGGAGATAGAAGTCTTAACGTGCCCAGTGGCCTGGGATGGAAGGGCATGAGGTTTTCAAGATCGCCTTTCATCAGCTATAAAATAAAAGCCATAAGTAATTAGAGAGCCAGGGAATACCCAACAATTCTGGGATCAAATCAGAAACTGGGATGGCTTCTGTAAATCTGGGACTGTCCCTGGAAAATAGAAAATACTTAGAGGGTCTGGAAACGGTGGCATGAAAGGAAATTTGTGTGAGCCCTTAGTCGTTTTGCCATGGATTAATTCATCTATCCCTCGGGAATAGACCTTTCCATGAGCTATGTTCCCCAAAGAACGGTGCTTTAAAAGTTATTAATTTGATCATTGTAGCCTGGATCCCTGCCAGCGGTTGTTTAGCAAATAAACATTGTAACTGCTGGGTGATTGAAGTTTTAATTACTAAGCAATTAACACTTCAAGATTTCAAGGCAGAACATTGTGCGGAAGGTGCTGCAGCTTAGGCAGGAGGGAAGGGAATGCAAAGGAGAGCAGAACCTAAAAGGAATGGAGGAGGAGGAGGAGGAGGAGAAATGGAGGCCTGGATTGCAACCGCCTTCCTCACAGGGCCATTGTGAGGATGACACGGTGGGGGCGCGGATGGACATTGATCAGCCTCAGTTCTTTCTAGTCCAGCATCCTGTTTTTTCAGTGGCCAACCAGGTATATAAAGAATAATAAAAAAGGACTTCTGATTTAAAAATCTCACCTCCATAGAGTGGGTCCAAAGGGTTGAAACGATGGGCAAAATCTTTATCTCCTACAGGAGATAGAGATGGCCATCAATTTGGATGGCTCTTAAAGAGGATTGGAGAAATTCATGGAGGATAAGGCTGTTGACAGCCAGTAGTCATGACAACCACGCTCTGCCTCCATGCTGAAAGGCAGTCATGCTTTTGAATGCCAGCTGTTTGAAACCACTGGGTGGAAGAGGGAGTGCTCTTTCGCTCAGATCCTGCATGTGTGCTTCCTACAGGCATCTGGTTGGCCACTGTGAGAACAAGATGCTGTTAGGATTCCTGCTCCATGACTGCAGTCATGGGATTTTTGTCAGTATATGTTTTGACTCCACAGAGTGGGAAGTGACGGGGACAGGATGTTTGTGTTACTGTGTTCAGTGAAGTGGGACTAATGTCCTTTGTCCTTTTTCTCTTTGCTGTCTGATGTGAGAGAGAGAGGGAGCCATGTTGCAGTGCTCCATGTGTGTTTATATGTAAATAAAGTAGATTAGCCAAAATGCTGAGTTGCTGAGGTCTGTCACACAATGATGCGAAGACTCTGCGGATCCCTAAGTGTGCCGGTGTCCGTTGGCATCGGTTGCTGTGATGTTCGGGCAGAAGAAAGCTTTTGAAGCTCCCGAACTATCGACCAAGAGGGAGGGAACATGCCAGTCGGGCATGTGTCTCTGCCAGGTTCCTCCCTGACTGTAGGCTGAACTCCTGACAGATGCTAGACTAGATGGGCCATTGGCCTGATCCAGCAGAACATTATGTTCATATGTTCTTACTGTGCTCCCATTACAGGGGTGAGGAACCTCAGGCCTGGATGAAGTGAATGCGGCCCCCTGCCTTCTCCATCTGGCCCTCAGAATTCTCCACCCGCCACACCCCCTCTCCTCAAGCACACCCCTCTATGCCTCTTGTTACACACCCCAAGTGTTTTTGCCTGGCAGGAATGTGTCCTTGAATTCCCATAATGCCTTGTGCTCAGAGGGGAATTTGGGCTTCAGACTGAATAATCTTCCCCATTAGAACAAGAAGGAAAGTCTTGGAATATGGTGTTAGAAGGAAGGTACAGAATGGCTAAAAAGGGAGCAATTATTTCAGTTTGAGCCAAGGCTTGTCAGAGCTCAGATACCAGATTTATTAACAATGCCGGGCAGAAGTTCAAAAGTATGGTTTAAATGAAAGGCTGCATTTCTGCCTGATGAGCAGCAACTCTGAAAAACAGCAGCCCTACCAGGCTGGGGTGGGTAGCGGGGGCAGCTGCACAGTGAGTGCAACAGCTTCTTTCTTATCTCTCCCTTCCTCCCCAGCGATGCTCTTCCCATCCGCTCAGCGAGTGAAGAGGTCTTCGGCAGCTCTCCTCAACCCAGTGCTTCAGAAGTCTCAGGATGATGTGGACCTTCTGTTTGAGGTTCAGTATACACCAGAGAACCATCTTTCTGTGTAGAAATATACCAGATATGACAATATCTTCAAGGCAGCACAGAGAATAAGGAGCTTGGTGCAGAGCGGTGTTGGACAGCCTGGTGCAACAGAAGCACTTGTTGACTTACTGCTGTTTACAAAGGGTGGTGCTCCCGCCAGTGTGTTTGCACCATGCTGCCTTCCTGCTGTCTCGCCCATCCTCCTCCTCTCAGTAACCAGCAGTGACTCACCTGCTCACCTGCTCTATGCTACTGGCGGAAAGATGCCATGGCATTTATTTGCAGGCTTTTGCTCTCATGTTTAAGAGCAGCCATCCACGCTGCTGAAATAAAGTTACAGGCATTAGGGGAAAAACCCTGAAGAATCCGTTTACTGTGATTAGAGAACGAGGCATATGGAAAGGCTCTCTCCCACATCAAATATAGAATCACAGAATCACTGTGAAGTTGTCACTGTCAATCTGCAGCTTCCTTGCTGAAACCAATAAGCATGCTTAAAGTTGTCACCATAAAGCAGGAATAGGGAACCATCATCCCGCACAGCCTGCAAATGTCCCGGAAAAAACAGGACATCCCGTTTTCTCACGCGAGAGCACAGCAACCATTTTGGGTGCCGTGACTCATACAGGAACATGGGTGGGAAGACACACGTCTTGGGATTCCAAGATGTTGTTGTTGTTTTGAATATTTTATTAGTTGAATATAAGAACAACATATAATCAAATACAAGCAATCAAATACAGTGGGATTCCAAGATATTGATGGGTATGCACCCCTGGCTATTGGCTATGCTGGCAGGGGCTGATGGGAATTGAAGTCCAACAACATGTGGAAAGCCACAGGTTCCGTGGCCCAGCCCCAGAGCAATATTTTAACAGAAATCGTAGACCAAGTAGATGGTGGGTTAGATGCTGGCTTCAGAAGAACGTGGTCTCAGACACAGCTGAGTGATGGACTACAGCTGTAAGGGCTGCTGACCTGCCTCCTGCCATTTTATTTCTAAACTAATCAGCCCCTTTGTCTGCTTTATGTTCCAATAAAAACAATCTAAATTTAACCTAAATGTTATGCATTGTTCCTGTGGGAGGATGGCTGGGTTCTCCCAAACAGCAAATGAGCCAAGTTTTGTTTGGAAGGTACCGCTCCAAAAGACAGATGCCCTGCCATCTTTTGGGACAACTTTGCCTCATTCCTCCTCTGTGTGTTTCTGCCCCCAGCTTCTTCTAAGTGAGCTGCAGATCAACGACGACCTGAAGATCTCTGTCAAAGATGAGGAGCTGGCTTCGATGAGGAAGGCGACTGCATTTGACACTCTCTGCAATGACGTCATCCCTAAAAGCATCACGGACATTCGCCGACTGAATGCAAGGCTGCTGGGCCACCCTGGGGTGCTAAAGAAAGAAGATTTCGAAAGGACAGTGTTGACCATGGTCTACACAGCCTATAGGGCAGCTCAGTCCCAAGGTCACCAGAAAGACACGTGGGCTGAATCCTTTGTGGGTCTCTACAAGGCCCTGAAGCACGACTTGACATTCTCAACCAGCCAGACGTCCTCATCTCAACGGACTTTGTAGTCCAGAAATTTACTTTAATAGGAAGCACATCTGCCTCTTTGCTTTGTTTTTGTATATATAAAAAGTTTAGGACTGCAGGCATGGAAAGATTCTTTATTCTCTAGCTCCTCCTAGAGGGCACCTGTTGAAAAATCTTTTACGTGCTTCTGAAATTTCTCCTTGTCTGAATTTCTCCCTGGATTTGGGGAGTTACAAATTGCCTGTGCCTGCTTCTGAAATGGAACCAATGAGTTAAGAATCCTCCTTTCTTATTCTTTTCTCCTTTCAATAATCCGAATTTTGTATGAAGCACAGTGAATGTAGAATTTTCCACAGCCTTTCATGGAGATAAGTGATTTCCCCAAAGCTCCGCTCAGATTAGTTTGGAAATTAACTGAGTTCTCCCAGAAGGAAAAATGAGACACCTTACCTTTTTTTTTTTTTTTTTGCGGAGCCAGTCTGAGGACTCAAAACACCATCTCAGTCCTGCCAGCCTGCTGTCTCCCAAAACTCTCCTTGCAAGCTGACCTCAACCCCCAGACACACTTCATTTTCTTTGTCTGACAATCAGTGACCAAATGGGGAGGGCACAGGAGAGAAGGGAATATTGCAATGTTTCCTTGTTCCCTCACCAACCTTATTCACATATTACTTCTCTGTAGAGTGGTATCATCCTGGAGTCCCATCCCAGGCTAGGCCTGCTTCAGTTTGTTTCTTATTTTCATGCAAGCCTACCTGGTTCACATTTTCTGAAACGATGCACCAAACTGCTCTTAAAATTGGGTAAGTGAGAAAGTGGGAGAAACCAAAATGGACAGATGCACCAATCTGTCCATCCCAGCTGACATTAATTTATATAAAGAACCAAGGACATTTCTCTGGCAACCAACATGCCCCTTTGTTTTCAGATACTATGGTAGCCACAAAGCCCCAAACACCATTTTCTCTCCCACTCACTGGCTAGTGGAATCAGTATAAACCATGCAAAATCTGTATAGGGAAAATTAATGTCCATAGACTTATACATCGAGATCAGTTAATCTGATCCTAACTTTTAGGGTACCTTCATTTTACTCTAAGTGAATGAATCATTGGTTCTTTGATGTTCCCTCTTGTTACTTCCTCTAGGTTTATGTGAATGTGCATATGAAGAGTGGCAGTTGCTTTGATACACATACATCCAGGGTCAAAAGGCCTCAGAGTTGTTTGTGCAAACAGCATTGCAGGGCATTTTTAAGCATGTCTATTCAGGATCATCCTGTTGTATTTTATGGTTCCTTGCCCCTCATAAGCATGCATAGAATCGCAGCCTTATTTTTTTTTCCCCTGACTTGAAAACTGGTGAATGTTTGGGATCCACGGTGGAGAAAATACCCATTCAATAAAATTCTCATTGATGAATTCATTAGCTTTTCAGCAGGGAATAATAGGGTTATGCATTGGCTCTGTGTGCACCTCAAGTAATGAGGCAAATTGGGGTGATTCCGGTCACGATGTCATGCTCCTGAGTTAGATCAGGCTATTAACAGGTGAATTAGGGAATCCCCAAAGAAGTAGTTCTGTTGCCTCGGTTCCTCCATCCCCCAAAATTTCTGTGCATGACCTTCCTTTCCTTTCCTTTCCTGAAAAATGAAATCAAGTTGAATGGTAAAATGTCTAGCACTTGAGAGGAGAGGGAATATATAGGAGAGGGGAGATGGGGGATCTTTCATTTTGATGGACATTTTGATTATCTTTTAATCAGTGAATTATTTTCCCAGTGCACTTCACTGTCAGTGATTTGGAGGAGGAATGTTGAAGTAAACATGCGGTCTGCCTTTCTCCTCCATATTCTGGCTGCAAGAACAGGGCATAAGCAGTAGAGTTAGACTACTGGGGTCTAAGAAAATAATCCCCTTTCCTAACAAACCATCAGAAATCATAGTGCCCTCTCTTTTTTCTTCAAGGGGGATACTTCTAGGAAGTGGGGAGTGGGGAGAAAAAACAGTGACTTTTCTATTTTGTTATAACAAGATAAAATCCCCTAGCATGATAGCCCCTGGAACTATTTTTCCGAACTTTGACAGGTTACTTAACTGTCCTCATGTCCCCATTTCTCAAACAGATTCCCCCGATCAAATTAGGGGAGGGAATGTGATTCTTTTTTTGTTTTCCCACCTGAAAATGGTAGTCTGACCTTGTAGGAGAACTGCTGTAGCTACCTGTCAGAAATTTGGCAGAATTCATTCCTTCAGAAGTGGGAACTGTGCCTGCAATTTGCATCCAATTCTGGAATAAAATAAAACAATTAAATACTTTATTTCTTTCAGACAACAAACAAACAACAAACCACCTTAAATGTTCCCTGCATGGAAATCCCTGGATGGAGCTGTTTGAACTTTGGCAGACTTGATCCATTCTGCAAGGGCTATTTGGCCTACAAATTACATCCGCTTATGTGAAAAGAAGTCATAGCCGCTTTTAGATTTCCCATTCTAGTCAATGGGGGCTAAACAGAGCTCCGGACTTAACAGGTCAGATTTGGACTCAAATGTCAAACCAGAACAACACAGAGCAGATCTGAAACAAATCAGGCTCTTTCGCATTGCTAGATACAGATACAAAATGAATATTGTGGTTGCTTCACATGCCTAGAACATACTTTTGGTTTAGCTTGGTTAAGAGAGGATGACACAATTATTTTTGTGTTACCCACTATAAGAGATGAAGACTGAGTTATCCAGATCTCACTTTCCTTAGAGATTGGAGATGATATTAAAGTAATGGGGAGATAATCCCACAATTTCTGCAAATTAAATGAGGAACCTTAGCAACAGTGGCTTTTGAAGCCCCTTTGCACAGAAACGGTGGAGAGTCAGCATTTATTTTCTAGGAACACTAATATTTATATATATCTCCAAAAACAGAGCACTCGCAGTCAGACTGAAAGGGCCCAAGCAGCGTCAACGTCCTGGTATGGCTACAAGCCTAGAGCTGACTCTGTGTGGGCTCAAACATCTGTTCAGCAATGGCAGATCAAAGATTCTACTAGCTGTGTAATTACACCATTCCTGGCTGTTCCTGTCCTGTGATTGAGTAACTCTGTGGCGTGAGTCACAATTTTGCTGCATCCCCTGCAGAATGAATAGTTTAGTTTAGGTCGCATTTGGTCAGCCAGTCAGAGAACCAACAGCAGGCAGCTCATCTTGTTTGACATGCAGCGGGGAAAGGAATCCGACTACATGTGTGTAGCAGGACCACATCTGTGTCACGGGACTCCAGTGATGGATCTCAGAGAGTAAAATACCAGTTTAGAGGTACCATGCAAAAACAGCTCTGCCCTCTCACTCCTCTTCACCACTCTGCCTGGCTTCTGTTCACCCTCCACCCAATCTAATGCAACAACATGCCATTGCCACCACGTGTCACACCAAGTAGACCAGCAATGTTGAACCAGTTGACTGTGGTCGCCAGGTAAATCGCCAGGGTTCTCCAGATCGATCGTGGGAGTGAAAAAAGAGATTGTCTGGTTGCTCCTGAGCGATCGTGACCTGCCCCGCCCCCAGCGCCATGTTCCATTGGCGCCACTTGTATTCCCCTCGTCTGTGGTAGAGTGGGGGAAGGAGGGATGGTTGTGGACTGCTTGGTGAGTGATTTTATGCAACACTTTCCTAAATAAAGCTCAACAACTCTGAGCAATGACAATGGGTAGATCACTGCCAGTTTTATTATACAGCCATACCTCATGTTATGTCCGCTTCGTGTTACGTTCTTTCAGGTTACGTCCCGCAGTGACCCGGAAGTATTGGAAAGGGTTACTTCCGGGTTTTGCCGCTCGCGCATGTGCAGAGGTGCAAAATGATGTCAAGCACATGCGCAGAAGTGGCGAATCACAACCTGCGCGTGTGCAGACGCACCGCTGAGGGTGGCATTCTTTTCATGTTGCGAGGTACAGTGGCACCTCGGGTTACATACGCTTCAGGTTACAGACTCCGCTAACCCAGAATTAGTGCTTCAGGTTAAGAACTTTGCTTCAGGATAAGAACAGAAATTGTGCTCCAGCGGCTCAGCAGCAGCAGGAGGCCCCATTAGCTAAAGTGGTGCTTCAGGTTAAGAACAGTTTCAGGTTAAGTACAGACCTCCGGAACGAATTAAGTACCTAACCCAAGGTACCACTGTACTGGGAGTAGATCACATCTCTATAGATTCAGATGTGCCTGGAGTAGACCAGTGCAACTGCTCACACATTGCCTGCTGGAATGTACAGCCTGCCAGGGATGATTGTCCCTCTGTCTGCCCACTTGGTTAGGGGGTCTTTCCTAAACCTATTTCAAAAAGTAAAAACCAGGAAACCACCCAAATTGTTGAGCTTTTCTTTACAAAAATGCAAAAAAAAACACCCCCACCCCGATTTCTCAGTTTACTTCTCAAAGATCCAGGACAAACCGCCACCTTCCAGAAATTCTCACTGGATTACCAGAGAAGAATGGATAACAGAGATGATGGACTATGCAGAAATGGCGAAAATAACCAGGAAGATCAGAAACTAAGCAGATAATAAATTTAATAAAGAATGGGGGAAATTTATAAGTTACTTAAAAGAACACTGTAAGCAATGAAAAACATTGGCAGGATTTAAAAAAAACACACTTGCATGGTAACAAGAACTATGGTATGAATTGAGTTCATGCGATGCAGTTGGAAAAGAATAACTATGGAACCCATGGAAGGGAAATGGAGGGAAGTCTAGGGATTCAGAGAATCCTGTTTGTATATGATTATGATCTACATGTGAATGCAAATGTTAAATATAAAACTTAATAATAATAATAATAATAATAATAATAATAATAATAGAAATTCCCCCTGGATGTCACTTCTGCCTTTGAAATCCTAGTAATATCTGGGAAATCCCAGACGTATGACAGCCCTACCTAAACATGCTGTCTGTGGTGCATTGGAAGAAGGCAGTTAGGAGAGACAGACAGCCCAGGTCAGCAGAATACAAGAATTGCCACCACTAGGGAGCTGACTCTGCTGAAACTGCTCCATAGACCTGGGATTAGCTGCCTAGATGCCAGATTGGCGTGCGCAGGAATTCAGAGATGTCGAAGCGACTGCAAGTGTTCCCATTGACAATAAAGAGCTAACTCTCTGCTATGTGTATTCCTTGGCTGTGAAACTCCATTCATTTCTAGGCAATCTTACAGGGAGTCACATGCCAGTGCTGGGCAGGGCCAGAGCCAAAGGTAGACCGAGCAACACATGTATATTTTAAACTCATACAACCCCTCTATCCCCCATCAAGGAAAGCAAGAGGCATTATCAAAGTTCTAGGACACATTCTAGGTAAAGGTAAAGGTACCCCTGCCCGTATGGGCCAGTCTTGACAGACTCTAGGGTTGTGCGCTCATCTCACTCTAGAGGCCGGGAGCCAGCGCTGTCCACAGACACTTCCGGGTCACGTGGCCAGCGTGACAAGCTGCATCTGGCGAGCCAGCGCAGCACACGGAACGCCGTTTACCTTCCTGCTAGTAAGCGGTCCCTATTTATCTACTTGCACCCGGGGGTGCTTTCGAACTGCTAGGTTGGCAGGCGCTGGGACCGAGCGACGGGAGCGCACCCCACCGTGGGGATTCGAACCGCCGACCTTTCGATCGGCAAGTCCTAGGCGCTGAGGCTTTTACCCACAGCACCACCCGCGTAGTCGGGCAAAAATACTTGGGGGGTGGGCAAAGAAGGGGGAGAGTGCCAAGGTCCAGAGAGAGAGAGAGGGGGGCATTTGGCCTTCAGGCCTGGGCTTCATCACCCCTTCTTTATATAGAGAGCCATTGTTAAACTCTAAAGCACATTTCCCAGCACAGTGGGATTTCTCCCACAGTCAAAATGGAGTGTTGTTGATTTAAGAGCCAGCGTTGCTAGCTCTCTGAATAATACATATACAAACAAAGCATAAAACACCCTCGGGCTCCCAGTGGATCAATGAACCTTAGAAATAACTCTTACAACCCTCTGCTTCCTGCTTGTAAAATAGAGCTTTGTTGGCTTCCACTCTCCTCTTTTACTGTGGGTAGTGTCAGAAGCACAAAATATGGGAATGACATCCATAAAGGTCTATTTTATTTACTAAAGCATCTCTAACGAAGAAGCAAAACACCCGTGCTTTGAGGCACGCTTGGATTCAAGGTACATTTATCAGTGGAGATAAGCAACAAGGCCAGCAGAAAGTGCACACAAGGTATTTAAAAGCCCTTATCACCACCACCTAATTTAGTTTTCTTTTTAAAAGAAAAGTCTTTCCAGGTGCTCAGAAAAGCTAGAGAGGCAACCAGGAGATAATGAGATGGTCGCCAAGCATATCCTTAGAGCAGGAATGCAGGCATACCCTCCAACATTTCTCCAGTTAAAATAGGGGCGCCCCATACCATAATGATAATTTTACTATTTATATCCCACACAACTGAATTTGTTGCCCCAGCCACCCTGGGCAGTTTCCAATATATATAAAAACATGACAAAATATTAAATATTGAGGGGGGGGGACATTCCCTACACAGGATTGCCTTCAGATGGTTCGGCAGTTGAATAACTCCATCCCCTCCAACATTTCTCCAATGAAAATAGGGATGTCCTAAGGAAAAGTGGGACATTTCGGGATCCAACCAGAAACTGGGATGGCTTCTCTAAATCAGGGACGTCCCTGGAAAATAGGGACACTTGGAGGGTCTGGAATATAGAACTTAGGGAAGGGAATTCCACAGAGGCCATCTTGTCCAAAATCCAGCAATGGCATTAGCAGGCTTAAGTTACAGAAAGGTAGATGTCAGCTGAATGTTGTAAGATACTTCTTGATGGTAAGAGTCACTTGACAATGCAACCAACTATCTAAAGCATTGGTCTTAGACTAGTAGGTGGACCCACTACCAGATCGTGGCCTGATCCTGCAACAGCAGCACCTCTCTCTATCCCCAAATGCATTTCTGGGTTAAAAGTGGATCCCAGATCAGAAAAGGCTGAAGACTACTGACCTAGAGGGATGATGAGCTGTCCAGTGCTGGAGGTCTTCAGGTAGGTTCCTCTGGATTTCCTACTTTGAGAAGAAGCATGCACACGAGATGACAATGATGCAGCTGACCTTCAGTCAAAAGATTCTGATTTTACTCAAAAACAACAACACTTTGGCAACGTGCCCCAGATTCTGGCCATTAATGCAGTTGCACACATAATTCTGGCAGCAAGCACAGAACCAAGAAAGCTCATCCAGCATTTTATTTTATTTTTAATTCCAGTCAGTTGAAAACAACCCTAATTTCAAGTTTCACTGATTTCTAACTAAATGCCAGTCCTCTATGAACTCATCTACTCATTGCTTGGGAGTAGGGGAGTCACTTTAAAAATATATTAGTACTTTTCCTCTTTGGGATGGGGAGGTTTACCACTTCACATCTTTTTGCTATGAACCGTTTTTTAAACCTTTCTTCTTTGATACATTAAAAACCTCTGGCACATGAACAAAGAAGGAAGCCATTAAGAGCGTCATAAGTCTCATTTATGCATCTATACATTTAATAAATGCATTTGTTTACATGATTTTTATCCCACTCTCCAGCCAGAAAAGGCTCCCAGAGGGGGAAAGTCATTGCCCTCAAGTAGGGCTGGGCAAATCCATCACTTTTGGTTTCTCTCACTCTCTCACTTTTTCAATCTTCAATTCCATTCTTCACCTTGTTACATCAGTTTGCTTTTTTAAAAAGAAAAATAAAGAGTTCTCAAGAAAATTCACCAGCATTTCTGTGGAAATTTCTCATAACATACACATTTCTGCATGCAATTTTCTCTAATATACACATTTCTGCTAGGCATAGTCTTCCTGCAAAATTCAGAAAAGTTCAAATTTCGATCAGGGGCTGTGTTTCGGTTCACATTCTGTTTCAAAAAGAGAGAGAGAATCAGGTAGATTCACCTTTGCATGTGAACTGAATTGAATTTCTCCTCCATCCTGGCCTACACCCCATACCCAGGCTAGGAATGAGTAAATTTCAGGGTGACAGGCAAAGTGTGGTGTGGCCATTAAATAAAAAAAAAATAAAAGCTAGCTAGCTTTTTTCAGTAGCATTACTAAGCGTGTGTAAACAGGACTCAAGCTCCGGAAGGAAGGCAAACCCATCCCTCAAGGGGTGAACTGCAGTTGACTCCATGCACCAGGGTTCAGCGTACTTTCAAGCCCATCGGAATATAGGAAGCTCTCATACTGAGTTAGACCACTGGTCCATCTAGATCAGTATTGTCTACACTGACTGGCAGCAGTTCTCCAAGGTTTCATGCTGGGCACATTCCCAGTCCAACCTGGAAATGTTGGGGATTGAACCTGCAAAAGCACATACCCTCCAACATTTCTCCAATGAAAATAGGGATGTCCCATTCCATAATGATAATTTTACTATTTATACCCCAAACGTCTTTGCCCCAGCCACTCTGGGCAGCTTTCAGCATATATAAAAACATAAGAAAACATTAACTATTAAAAAAAACCTCCCTATACAGGATTGCCTTCAGACGGCTCGGGGATCAGCTAACTCCATACCTTCCAACATTTCTCCAATGAAAATAGGGACGTCCTAGTGGGACATTAGGGGACGCGGGTGGCACTGTGGGTTAAACCACAGAGCCTAGGACTTGCCGATCAGAAGGTTGGCGGTTCAAATCCCCACGACGGGGTGAGCTCCCGTTGCTCGGTCCCTGCTCGTGCCAACCTAGCACTTTGAAAGCATGCCAAAGTGCAAGTAGATAAATAGGTACCGCTCCGGCGGGAAGGTAAACGGCGTTTCCGTGCACTGCTCTGGTACACCAGAAGTGGCTTAGTCATGCTGGCCACATGACCCGGAAGCTGTACGCCGGCTCCCTCGGCCAATAAAGCGAGATGAGCGCTGCAACCCCAGAGTCGTTAGCGACTGGACCTAATGGTCAGGGGTCCCTTTACCTTTACATACAGGATTGCCTTCAGACAGCTCAGGCATCAGATAACTCCATACCCTCCAACATTTCTCCAATGAAAATAGGGATGTCCTAAGGAAAAGTGGGACATTCTGGGATCAAATCAGAAACTGGGATGGCTTCTCTAAATCAGGGATGTCCCTGGAAAATAGGGTCTGAAAGCAGGTGCTCTACCACTGAGTTGTGGCCCTTCATCAAATATTTCTCTACTATAATCGTCTCCCACAGAGACTGAACTGCTTGAGAACCTGAGGCAGGAGCCAAAGGTTACAGAACGATATGGCCCCTGACTAATATTATGGGCACCACTATTTGTACAGGCCTGCTTTATCGGTTTTAATGGCTAAAATTGCAACTGGCGAACAACGGGAGGTAAAAAGTGAATCATTTCGCATTGCCAGTGGGGAGTTTATATTTTCACAGCCATTCCTTGGCCTTGAAGCAGTCACACTGCCCAGCAGCTGAGGTGGGTGGTGGGGCCAGGGGTTGGGGGGAGGGAGGGAATAGCACTTGTCTTGGAAGGATATTGGTTTCCTCCAATGCCATCCTCTTAGCAGGCGGAGCCAGGCTCCTTTCCATCCCTCCCATTGGTGAGCTGCAATAGATTGGGACTTCCTCTCAAGTTTTTATCTCAAGATGAAGGTAATCTGTGTAAGAATTGCTTCTCTGTGCATTCCCTGAGAACTGCTGATCTGAGGGTAGGGAGGGAAAGGAGCAGAAAGATAATCTTTAAGCAGTTGAGAAATGTTACAGGAAAGAATGCAAAAAGCAGAGAGGGAGAGAAAATACTTTTTTCTTTTTTTTTAAGCTGTGGATTTTCTTCCCTATTTTAATTTGTGCTAAACTGGATGCTAACTCTTTAGTTGAGGTGCTCCTGAAAGTGGGCATACCTGCAAGAAGAAGAAAGCGAGGCTCAAAAAAAGTTTGGGTTTCTGCCTACCTGATTCATACTCCAAGCAAACAAACGTGATGGGAGGCGAAAAGAAAATGGACTCCACAGAGGCCGCCTGGTGATTTTCCTGGTGGTGGTCAGAAGGAAGAACATTATGTTCCTCAGACACTTATGGTGTGATGGTCATGAGGAGGCACTAGTCAGTCCTACATAAAGGCAGAGACTCTCCAATGCATTTCACAACATCCCCTTAAAGGAGAAAAGAAGCAAGAGCCACCAATAACTCTTCCATAGAAGGAGGGAACCATTTCCCCAGGGCTGGAGGAAGACCCTGAGGATTCCCATTGGGTCATCAAGGAGATACACCAGGAACAGAAGGATGACAGTAGTCAAGGAGCTGCTCCGCGCCAGAAACCTATTGCTGGTTATCCTGATTCCACTCTTGTTGCTTCCTTTGCCTCTCTTATATCCCAGCAGTGTAAGTACTTTGCTTCCCCGTCCTCTCATTTTCACCATAACTGGATTGGGAGCCAGCCTGGTATAGTGGTTAGAGTGCTGGACCAGAACCATGGCTGAGAGGGGATGGGATGAACCCAGTCACTCAAGCTCAGCCTAACCTACCTTCACAGGGTTGTGTTGAGTATAAAATAGGGAAGAGGAGAACTATTTACGCCACCTTGAGCTCCTCTTAGGAAAGGTGGGTTATAACTGTGATAAATAAATGTGCTCAAGGAGAAGAGTTAGCAGGTCAACTAGGCAAAGCATTCTTGGCAAGCGGTCAGGAAGGTGCATGCGGGGGAGCAGGGAGAGTTGCGGTTCAATCCTCTACTCAGAAGTAAGCCCTACTGAAGAAGTGGGGTTCGAATGCAACATTAAGGTGGCAGCCCCTTTGCCTCCGTTGCATGGGATCTCCATAGGACGCTACTCAGCCTTGATTATTTATTTCATTGAGGAATCACTTCTCGAAGCAACTTCGCAATGCAACAAAAACATCTCTAAGACAATTGTGTGTGCAAAAGGAGTTAAAACAGTTGCATATATAAATCAATTAAAAACAGTTTTAAATATATAAATTAAATTCTTATAGCAAATTGTTCTGGATTCCAGCTTTACTCCAATGAAAATTATGCTGTTTCCAGGGTGGACTCATAGAAATGTAAAGTTAGAAGGGGCTCAAAGAACTCTTGACAGATGACCATCCAAGCTTTGTTTAAAATCCTCCAATGAAGGAGGCAGTCCATTCCACTGTCAAACAGCTCTTACAGTCAGAAAATTCTTCCTAATGTTTAGTCAGAATCTTCTTTCTTGTAATTTGGATCCATTGGTTCAGGTCCTCTGGAGCAGCAGAAAACAAACCTGCTCCATCATACATGCGACAGCCCTTCAGATATTTGAAGATGTTATAGAGCTTTGAGGATGGAATGCTCAGGAGGTCTTCGGTCACTGAAGCTAAGTGATGCTTGCACTATTTTCTAGGTCAGCCTTTCTCAGCCTTGGATCCCCAGGTGTTGTTGGACTACAACTCCCACCATCCCTAGCTAGCAGTGATGATGGGAGTTGTAGTCCAACAACATTTGGGGACCCAAGGTTAAGAAAGGCTGTTCGAGGTTGAGGCCATGTGGTGTTAATGTGTCCCACGTTGTTGGATCTGTTGCATTATCCGTAGCTTCTCAGAAGTGTTCAGCAAACTTGCTTGACGTGCTGTTCGATGCTTTCATTGTCTGCCAGCCTATCTATTTATCTATCATCTGCAAGCTAAAACAAATATATAAAAACCATTTCAGATCCAATACTGATACTCACTTATAATGAGAAAAAATGTGCTCTGCACATGCCCAGAAACATGCTGTGATTACATGCAGGGCTGAGCGGCCATGTGCCTTTTTCCAATTAAGTCCTGTTTACAGTCTTGGATTCTAGATTTAAATATGCAGCTGTGAGTGCAAAAATACATGAGAAGAGGGAAACAGTTCTCCTTGGTCTCCTGTGATAATCTTAATCAAAGAATGAAGCTGAGTTGCATTATCATTTGAAGTGAAGGAAAAGGCAGATGAAATTTCCTCATTAATTTTGGAGACGAGTTTCCTTTCGCAAATGAATTTGCACTGCCGCAAATGCTCTCTAGGAAGGCAGCGTCGCTAACTTGACGGTGTTTGTTTTAATGAAGTCGAGTTGCACCTTTTGATTAATTTGTTTGCAACTTGTTTAATTAATGGTGTCCCCTTGTTTATCAGGGTTGGAGTGAACAAATGAACAAATTGGCAAATTAGGCAAAGTCGAAGTCAGCTAAAACAAATTTCAACCTCATTAAACAAGTAAACGAAGAGCGAGGCAAAGGAAGATAAATGAGGTTTTTTTCCTTTCCTTTTGCCTCTCTTGAGCTGACAAGAGTTAAGCAATTAAAAGCTTACAGACCTGGTGCGATGATGAAGATGGAATGACGGTATGATGAATTTAAAAAATCAAATTAGCCAGCAGGTAGTTACTTAATATAGAACTAAATAAGGGATGGACAGGTTTGCTTCCAGTCCATTTTACTTTTGTATGCTTTTGCCCACAATTCTGTTCCACTCCTGCATTAATCTGCATTTCATATTCATATTTAAATGTGTATTTTCCTCTAAAACTATCTTTTGAAATTGGGAGTGGCAAACCCTTTTCAGCTCAAGGGCCACATTCCCTCCTGGGCAACATTCTGAGGGACACATGTGAGTGGTAGGCGGGGCCAGAGGAAAAAGTGGGTGGGGTAAGCAAGGAAAATTTTACCTTGGCTAGTTTCACCCAGCCCTCTGTCTCCTCCATCTGAACAAGCAGTGGGCATTACTAGTGCTTAAGGGCACATTCCAGCCTGGCAAAAGCATTCAGGGTGCAAAGCAGAGCTAATAAGTGGGATGACCCAGAGAGAGGGGGTTGGTGGCCTTGGGGAGAGTTATGAGGGCCTGAGGCAGAGGTCTACAGGGCCACCCTGACTTAAATGCATATTTTGCTATATTTAAACCTCTGAGAACTGCATCACAAAATTTGGAGAAATGCAAATTCAAGTGGATTGCTATGGGCTGATCTGCACCTTTAGTCGGTAGAGGCACAGAACAGGAAATTCCATATATTTATTTCATGGAAACATTTATACGCTTCCCTTCTAATGCCCCCAAATCACTCACAATGCCCCACATACAGCTTAAAATCACAATTTTAGATCAGTTGGAAAACGGCTGTTTGAAACACTCAAAGAATAGTTAAAATCAGCCACAAGCTGAAAACCAGCTTAAAGGGCATGCCAACATTCCACATGCCTGGATAGATTTGCCGAAACAAAATTGCTTTTAGCGGGTGCTGAAAAGATTACAGGGAAGGTGCCTGCCTCAGTTTCCAAAGTGCAGGCGCAGCCACACCAAAAGAGAGATTTCTTCCAACTGCTGAATGAGTATTATGTGAAACCTGTAACAGTGCCAAAGGGGTTTGAGTGGGCATGCATGAAGTAAAGCAATCTTGCAGGTAAACTGTGACAGGCTTCATATACTAGCAGTAACACCCTTGAACTTGGCCCAGCAGCAGATTGACAAGGAGTGCAGGTTTCTGGGCTGAGGTGCTCAATGCTCAACCTCCCCTTGTTCTTTGGCTGTAGCAGTTGGTTGTCAGGGCTATAGTGCCCCTGCAGATGGAAGTTCTCTTTGGCTATCAATGCAGAAAAGTGGTAATAAACCTCTTCTCTGTGGTTTTGTGAATTCATGGAATCGTCTGAAGCTGTGCCGATGAGAGTGGAAGGGCACCAGGTTGGAAAAGGTGGCCTTAGGATTGGGAACCGTAACTCAAGTCAGAAATATCATGCTATTAAATGTGCTTGATCGGATTCAATTCAACTTTCTCACTCCCTGCTCGCTTTGATTCTTTTGTAAAAGCCTAAAAATTCAATTAAACCATTCCTGGTTTTCCTCCAGTTTTCACCATGCATGTCTCTCTTGCGCAGAACAAAACACAAGATGGATGTTTGCATGCTTTGCTCTCTCAGAGCTTCCTACAAGGTCCACTCATATCTCCATCCAGACATGCGAGAGATATTCTAATATTTCAAGGACACATTCCAGCCAAACAAACACACTTGAGAAAGTTGCAGGGCAGGGACAGTGTGTTCCTATCTTGTATTTTTATGTTGTGAACTGTCCCATGCTCTTTGGATAAAGGATGGTACAATATAAATAATATAATATATAGTAAACCCACAACTTATGTGCCTTTAACTCGTGTGCATTCAGCTTTACATGCTTGGCAAAAAAAAGATTAAAGGGGAGGAGGCTGGCATCTGGGAAAAATGACTTTGGCAATCCCACCCATTATTGAAGCCACTATGTTTTGACGATATGCCATTTTGGCTTTAGTCACAATCCCCAGAATGTAATTCCCAGATAAATTGCAGGGCTTACTGTTATATTATGTGTTATATTAGGGGTTATGTAGATTTGCAAAAATGTGTATATTAGGGGAAATTGCTTACCGTATTATTATTTATTAAATTTCATCCAAAGACCACAGGGCAGTTGACAACATAAAAACACAAAAATACACAACACAGTAACAAACATAAACAATAAACAAAATGCAGAATGATGCAGAAATGTTGAGAGCTGAACTTGGGAGAAATGAGAAACTGAAATGAACAGATGGCCGTCTGCCATGGGTTCGTTAGTTGAGAGTCCTACATTGTAGGGGGTTGGATTAGGTTCCCTTCCAACTCTACAGTTCTATGAAATCGGCAGATTCACTCATGCCGAATGATAAGGCATTGAACCAGCACCCAAGTATCCCATGTGTCCACTGGTTTCCAAGACACCATCTTTAGTAGCGAAACACAGCTGCAGTGCTCGCCTCCCTCTGGAGGATCATAAGCTGCAGTTTAGAATGACTAATCAAACTGATCCTTTTGTGTTCTGCACGAAGAATCGAAGCACAGACAATAATTTAACATTGCGTAACTCAATCAGAAAGAAAACCCTGCGGTGTTTCTCTGTGGATCAAGTGGAATGGAAAGAAATTAGCGCAGAGTGCCTACTCACAACAAGCTGGCTTCTAAGCACTTCTTCATTAAATAGCCCAGTTATCCGATAGCCTAGTTACTTGATCATTAAATTGCCCCATGGAGGCCGATTATGGTTTAGCTGAGATTAATAAAACGGCTGTTTCTTCCTGACGGCTTGCCAGTCAGCCCTTGGCTGTTAGTCATCATGTCTGCATGGCATCTTGAGGTCCAAATGTAGTGTGGCAGTGGGCAGCTGCTGCTGTGAAGAGACAATGGGAGAGGTTTATTGTCCTCATGCCCTGACTGTGAGCTTCCTGGAGGAACCTGATTGGATGCTGTGGGAATGAGATGGTCAATGGTTTGGTCTGATGTAGGAATGTAGGAAGCTGCCTTATACACAGTCAAACCACTGGCACATCTAGTATTGTCTATGTTGATGGACCGCAGCTTCCCCAGGTTTCAGGCAGGAGTCTTTCCCAATTGTCCTTCCCAAATCTGGAGGTGCCAGAACCAGGGACCTTCTGCATGCAAGACCACTCTACCACTGAGCTTCAGTCCTTCCCTGTAGGAGGGTTTATTATTATTATTATTATTATTATTATTATTATTATTATTACCTTTAACCATAGCAGTTCTAAAGCTGCTCAAAAAACAGCCACAATGTGTTGATTAAAACCTGAGAAAATGTAGCTCTTTAAACCACCTGCCTATATTATACGAAGCAGGTGCCAGGCAAATGTCAATTTACATGATCTTAAAACACTGGCAGTCCATATAGGTTCTCCACAGACAGGTTTGTGAGTCTGGTGGGAGAGCTTTGCTTTCTTCTTCCCTTACCTATGAAAACAAGGAAGGAAGACCAGGTTTCTTCCATTCACGATTCTTCTAAGCCCAGTTAGTCATTCTGAACTCACCAGATCCCAAATATTATTGAATCACATCTCAATAAGTAGCTCCACCTGGGATTTCCAGTGATACTATCACTAGACGTCTGGCGGCCAATAGAAAAAGTATTGAATCTTTATGCTGGGGTTGCCATATTAATTTCAACTAGGACACTCCAAAATTGTTGAGCTTTTTTTTACAAAAACACCCCAAAAAGCAAGATTTTTCAATTGACTTGCCTAACATCCAGGACAAAGCACCACCTTTCAGAAATCCCCACCCCCCTGGAAGTCAATTTCGCCTATGAAATCCTGGACCTATGGCAGCCCTACTTTATGCTGGATAGTAGGATAGTAGGGGTCTTCTTATGTTCAGCCACTTTGATACTTGCTTTAGTTTATTGTTTCATTTTTGACATTCATAAGCAGCTTTGCTAGTAGAATATCCATTCTTTACATACGAAAGATGCATACATTAAGCCTCATTTAAATCTCTTCTAAAAATCCATGTCTGATAAGTCTTTCCTGAATTACCATTGGCTGAATGAATCTTTCCCCTCCCCTGAGTATCTGTTGCCACTTAATGCGCCCCATGATCCATTCTCTGTCACATCCAACCTTATCCAACCTCTTGGGGAGGTGGGAGGATGCTTCCACAGCAGCATGGCAGGAGAATGGAAAAGATAATAGGATTGCTGAGGAAATAATTCACTTTGATTAAAAGATAGACTTCTCTGTCAGAATGAAAGATCCTTCACCTTTGCACCCCTCTGCTCTCAAGTTCTAGGCATTTCCCCACTCAGTTTAGTTTCATTTCCCAGAAAAGAAGGAGGTGAGGGGATGAGATGAGGCAACATTCAAGACTTCAAGCGTCACCTGTCCCTACATGAACCAACCTAAACGTTACAATCATCATATGAAGCCTTTCTTTGTATGCCCTGCCTACAAGGTCAGGAGGGTGGCAACATGACATAAGGCCTTCTCAGTGGTAGCTTCCTGCTTGTGGAATGCTCTCCCTGGGGAAGACTCGCCTGGCACCATCATTACATAGCTTGAGGTCATACATGAAAATGTTCTTTATTGCCAGGCCTTTGGCTCTTAATTATCTGTGGCCTGGTAGGGGTGGGATGTTTTAATCCTGTCTTTAAACAAAAGGATTGTCTTTTATATTTTTTTTCTTTTATGTCAGTTTCAATGTGCATATTTGTTTATATATTGTAAGTCAATTTTGGCGAAAAAGCAACTGATGAATTTAATTTGTCGGGGAATCGCTGATCCTCCAAAACGGTCCTAGCTAACAGTACCACCTAACTGAGGAAAGTGAGAGTTTGCCCAGAAGCACCCAGATTTGCCTCATTATTTGAGGGACACAGAGAATTGATGCACAGCCACCTCCTAGAATCTGCACTATAACTGCAGAGAATTCATTCAGCTCCTCTGCAGTCTCCCTGCCCTATTTTAGCACACCCTTCACTCCCTTGTCATCTAGCGGTCCAGATGCTTCCCTGCTTCTGATTCATTGTTGGTCTTCATGCTTTGATTTAGTGCGGTTTGCACAGTGCAAAGTGTGCTTGTGAATATTTTTGAATAAAGCTGTTTACATTCAAAATATCTTTCCGCTTGCCTTAAGGTCAGCTTGCGCTCCTTCGGCCAGATTTTTGTGTTCCTCTTTTGTTTTCCTTTTTCACTCTTCAAACAGCAAACCTCCATCCCATCGCTCAACTCCATATGACAAATTGCTCTGGAAGCCCTCTCCAATTTCAATTCTTTGCAGTAGAGTCAGAGGGTGCTGTTTGGAAAACAAGCAGAATATTCTGCGGCGTCCACAGCTCTAAACCATGTGCTTTCCTGAATCGCAGCCAGTGTAAATATCCTGCCACATAACCAAGTCATCAATGCTAGCAGTGAGTTCAAAAGATCAGAGGAAGAAATGTCTGCAGCAAATAATTTATATTCCCTGCTGTGTGTTTTGGGGATAATCTTCATCAGATGTACATTGACGCCGTATCATCACCATCAGTTGTGGGCATGTAGGGGGAGTTCCCACTGAATTTCACTTAAACCAGAAATGGGAAACATGGGCGGCTTTAAAAGAGGATTAGACAAATTCATGGAGGATAAAGGATAATGGTGGCTACTAGTCATGGTGACTATGCCCTGTCTCCATGCTTGAGGGCAGAAATGCCTCTGAATACCAGTTGCTGGAAATCGCAGGAGGGCAAAGGGCAACAGTTTGGCCACTGTGAGAACAGAATGCTGGACTAGATGGGCCAGCACACTCTTCTCAGATACTGCTGAGCTACAGCTCCCATCATTTCCGACTATTGACCACACTGGCAGGGCACTGCTTGCCCATCCCTGACTTGAAGGTTCCTGTTCAGATGAAAAATCTGAGGGAAACAAAGACACTTAAACAGCAAAATGTCTTGAGGGCAGTAGGAAAGAATCCTGTAGATCCTTGATGGTCACTAAGGACTCAGCTATACAGCTGCAAATCAAACGTTTTAAGTGTATTGTAAAGTGCAATATACAAATGTGACACTAGGTGGCGATGGTTAGCTATGGCAAATACAATATATAATTCAAAACTTATTTTATATATATATATATATAAAAAGCATTTTCACAGCGTTTTTTAATACGTGTGTAGATTCCACCTAAGTTTTGCCCTGAAGCCCAACTGTGAGGCAGATTTGGGATTTGGAATTTCCTGCTTGGTTGTAAAACTTCTGAGGATTATTGAGACAAAGTGGGGGGAAGGATTTCAGTGACACTAGTGACATATCTTAGGGATGCTCTGCACATCCTTAGCCTGCTTAGCATTCCATAAGGATCGAGTCAGGTGCCCTGGAGAGAAATGGCAATTGTTTAAATCAGCCTTCCCCAAACTGGTGCCCTCCAAATGTTTTTGGATTCCAAGTTATGGAATGATCTCCTTAGCCTTACTTTGAGTGCAATCCTATTCATTTGTTCAATTTCCATCCTCCCTATGTTTTTATATATGCTGTAAGCTCCCCAGAGTGACTGGGGAAACCCAGCCAAATGGGCAGAGTATAAATGTTGTTGTTGTTGTTGTTGTTGTTGTTGTTGTTGTTGTTGTTGTTTCCATCAAGCGGTGCTCAAGGTGGCCAACAGCTGCAAAATATAAAGCAAAAACACTAGAAAATTACCAAAAACTGGCAGAGGAAAGCATACTTAAAACCAACAAAAACATCCAATACACAGAATAAACAGCAATTTATTTACGATGTCCACAAATGATCAGCTTCAAGCTGGTGGGAAGCTGCCAGTCAGAGCAAACAATAGTGGACTAGATGGACAAATAACCTGAATCAGTAGAAGGCATTCCTGCCAGTTTATTAAACATCCATTGCGTTTGGCCCATTGACTGCATTCTCTTACACTGGGTGAAATGGGGCAACCAATGATTTTCACACGCTTTTATTTCATGCATGCATATCAGAGCTTTGGGTCACAGCAGCTGCCAATTCTGATTGCTTCTGCTTCTACAGGCGCTTGAGAAATGGCCTCCTTTTCTTTAATACAGTCAGATCCCCTAATGAAGGAATAATAATGGACCCTGTGCTGGAGAGCTTAACCGTTTGAATCAGAGTTACATAATGGCTAAGTACCAAAACAAAGTTAAGGATGGAAGATTATAGTACCTTTCCAAGAGTGGCTGTGTGCATGTCTAAAGCTGCAGCCACTAGAGCAGCCTGGCCTGGTTTTTCATCTACACAAGCGATGAAGCCAGTTTCTTCTGTCTGGACCAGGATAAAGGTGGTGGTGATGTTGGGAGAGATGGGCTCCCCTTAGCAAGTGGATTGCACACCAGAATCTCTCCTTTCTACACTTGCATCAGTGTAGACTGAAGGAGCATCTCTCCCTATATAATCCTGCCAGGGCTTTCAAGTTGGTTTGGGACGTTCTTTCAACAATGCTGGCATAGAAGGAACTGTAACTCATTGGAGGGTCTTCTCAGCAATAGCAGCCAGTTATCAAATACTCTCCCCACTGCACTTAGGTTGTATATTCTTTTTGGCAACCAAATGAAGACTGTTTTCTTTCACCTGGTCTTCTGAGTGGGCAGTTCCAAGCCCAAGAGATACTTGAGTTACATACTGAATAGATGGAGATGTTCAAGTTTATTGGGTTTGACACTGCTGTAACCCACCCTGAAGTCCGAGTGATGAGGGGCAGGATTTAAATCACCTAATCAGTGATGGCCAAACTTGCCCTCCAGCTGTTTTGGGACTAGAACTCCTATCATCCCTAGCTAACAGGACCAGTGGTCAGGGATGATGGGAATTGTAGTCCCAAAACAGCTAGAGGGCCACGTTTTGCCATCACTGACCTAAATAAATAAACAATAAACCCCCTGAGCAATTTGCCTGCAACAGATCTTCAGTCCTTCTTCCATCCACAGCACCATCAGCCCTGAATAATTTGCCTGGTAAGTAACTCCCCTAAACATGCCGAGTAAGTAGATAGGAATGCCTTGTAGCAATAAATTAGAGGATGCTCTCAGTTGGTTGTGCAATGTCTATTTATTGTCCTTGCATTTGGACCTGCAGTTTCTGTTTCTTTTAAACACTGTATAATTTGAATTGGTGGATTATTCTACGATTGTTGTGTAAACCAACTTGCAACCATCTACAGTGGTGCCTTGGTAGTCAAACAGCTTGGCTCCTGAACAAATTGGCTCCCGAACGCCACAAACCTGGATGTGGGTGTTCCAGTTTGCGAACGTTTTTCGGAAGCCAAATGTCCGACGCAGCTTCCACAGCTTCTGATTGAGTGCAGGAAGCTCCTGCAGCCAAACAGAAACTGCACCTTGGTTTTCAAACCATTTCAGGAGTCGAACGGACTCCCGAAATGGATTAAATTTGAGAACCAAGGTACCACTGATAGCAAAAAGCATTCTATAAATATTGGAAATCAACCAATCAATAAACCGTGTTTAGGTTCCACTGATAGCCTTTTCCTCCATGAAGTTGCCTAAGCCATCACTGTACCTTGTGAGAGAGAATGCCATTGCTTCACTACAGCTCAGTTGACTTTCTCCTCCCTTTCTTTCTTTCAGGAAGCCTCGTGTGGCTATGTGCTGATCGTGACGGCAGTGTACTGGGTTTCGGAGGCAGTGCCACTTGGGGCAGCAGCCCTTGTTCCTGCTTTCCTCTATCCACTGTTTGGAGTCATGAAATCCAGCGAGGTCAGACTTTACGTGTACTTTTCTTATCCATGCTACTGGGGCCTGAGTCACCTGTGCATGCCGGCCCTTCAAACAATTGCAGGGCAGACACAAGAAAGATGGAGAATCTGTGCTCTCTGTTGAGCAGGGATAGAACCAGTGGGCAGAAATGGCAAGGAATCAGATTTTGGCTCAACATTAGGAGCAACCCCCTAATGGTCTGAGTTATCTGGCAGGGCAACAGATTGCCTCAGGAGGAAGAGAGAGAGCTGTCTGCTGCAGGTATTTAAACATTGGCCAGGGGGTAGGAATACTGAGGCTGTAGTCTGCATTGCAGATCTTGCACTGAGCACGGGAGCTGGGTTAATTGATCTCCTTAATGCTGTGATTCTATTACGTCGGATCATTCCATGACTTTGTATTTGAAGGTTGGGGCCAACTGTATTACTTTCTCCCTAGTACTGGAGAGCAGCAGGCATGCACATTTCTCTTTCCAACACATAACACCTGCTTTTACGACTAAGGGATGTGCACTGCAAAATTCATGCTCCTTGACTAATCTGTATTTTTGGACAGAGCAAAGAACACTTCATTCATTATTTACATTGTTTTTATGCTTCCCATTAACAACAAGTTCTCAGAGTAGAGTTTCTTTTAAAAAATATGTGCAAATGCAACATGAAAATAGAGCACCTTAGTTAAAAAGGTTCCTCACAGACACTTTCATGTTCTTTTCTCACTCTTCTTGGCTTGTGTCTGCATCATAAACTTTCTCTCCAACCTCCACCCCAACCCCTGGTTAGCACATGCAACCATTGTTTTAATAAGCGTAATCTTGAATGGAAAGAAAAGAATCCATGTCAACCAGAAGCACAAAAGCCTTTATTATTCCACTTTATCCCTTTCATACCTCTTTGCAGCGTGGCAGATACAAAGACTAATGTTCTTACAAGCACACGGCTCTGTGCAATAGGCAGCAGGTTTCTCCAGCTTGAATGGGGAGAAAACCTTCGTCATGCTTTCCAGTTTACCATAGTGACTTGGCCCCGATTTTCCAGAACTGCTGTGTGCTGAGGCTGCTGAGGCTGCAGCCACACCATTCCTTCAGAGCACATTCAAAGCACATGGCTTCCCCCCAGAATCTTGGGAACTGTAGTTTGACAAGGATGCTGGGAATTGGAACTCTTTGAGGGGTAAACAATAGGTCCCATGATTCTTTGGGGGGGGTGCAATGTACTTCACATGTGTGGTGTGTACGCAGCCTCAGTATTTTTGGGGGAAAGCTGCCAACCCATTGTAAGCATGCTTATTTGGTAGCCAGTTCACACATTGCCAGCAATGGCCTGGGAGCCCCTGGGGCATGGGTGGCTCTGCAGATTTGCTGATTGGATTTACGGATGACTTTCCATAAGTCCTAAAGAAGTTTCCAAGAATGTAATACAGTAATGAAAATGCATATTTAAAAAATATTTGCTGGCACCGAAATGATGACAAAGATGGCACTGGGTAGACCTTCCTGTAGAAAGAATTCCATAAATCGGGAGCTACCAAAGAAAAGGTCTGTTCTCTTCAAGGTCCTTTGAGTGACTCATAGAGAAGGGCTTCAGATGATGATTTCAGGGTTTGGGCAGGTTTATATGGAGAAAGGCAGCATTTTAGATATTGGGGTTGGAAGCTTATTAAGACTCTAAAAGTCGCTTTGGGGCCTGTTTCTTGAGGATTTCTTTAAAAAAATAAATCAGAAATTGTTGCAGAAACGTGGAGAGCTGATTTTAAGACTGGGAGAATGAGAAATTGAAAGATACCCAAACCAGGAGATTTCTCCAGCTCTAGACAGAAGTCTAATTCTGCTGTGGTTTATGAATCAGACTGAACAGGGGACATAGGGGACAAGGGAAAAATAAAAATGAATGAAAGTCTAGGCAGGGGAGGGGAAAAGCTTTTTCTAGCTGTTTCTACACCTGCTCCTAGGATGTTTCTCTGCCAGCAGTCAGCTCTCCCTAGAGGTTTATCATCCCTTACCTCGTCTTTTCTGCAGGTAGCTGCTGAATACATCAAGAACACCACCTTGCTCCTCATGGGTGTAATTTGTGTGGCAGCCTCTGTTGAGAAATGGAATCTGCACAAACGGATCGCCTTGCGCATGGTGATGATGGCCGGAGCGAAACCAGGCATGTGAGTGAACCTGCTTTTTCACAGCATGGAGGGAGAGAGGAAGAGTGTCATGGGCCCTCCAGCAGCAGGTGGAGTCACTTCGCCTTCTGCTCCTTCAGGCTGCTGCTCAGCAGGTGAAGCCGACTCCTGGCCCATGACAGAAAGAGGGAGAGGGAAGGAGAGCAGTTGAAAAGAAAGACACAGCGCTGTCATTAAAGTGTCAAGTGGTGCTTATTAGCCATCAAGAGCACTGCTTCAGGAGCCCAGTGGGCTGACAGAATGCAAGGCACACACTTAATAAATAAGTCACTAGGTTTCCAGATACATCACTAGGACAAGTGTGGAGTCTGCTTCAATAGGATGAAAATATTCTTCCCTTCCTCTTCCTGCCAACTTCTTCTCTCTTTGGTCTGTCATCTCATTGCTTTGTTGATTCTGTTTTAATTTCGGCTCTCAGTTCAGGATGACTGGGGCAACTCAGCCAGTTGGGGAGGGTAATAATGATGATGATGATGATGTTTCTAGCCTATAGGTCATATGTAGTCCCCCAAACTCCCCTTTCTGGCCCTCAGGACTCTTTCCAGGCCACGCTCCCCTTGAACTGTGTGATAATGTCCCTTGCTTTTCCGGATGGAGAGACATGTGTATTTGTGTGATGTGTGTGTTGGACTTCCAACTTTTGCATGGCTCGAGTGTAGCCTACTGTGCAAAGGAAAGAGCCACAGCTGTTGCTGCAACCACATTTATCTCTGGCCCCTCCCACCCTTGGGTTTGCCCCCCAAAGGATGACCCACAAGGGAGGACAACCCTTAAGTTGGACAGGGCTATCCACCCTGGCCTTTTTCCTCTTTGACACTTCTTTAAGTTGTGCAGGGCAAGTTCAAAAGTGCATGAATTCACTCAGAGCTTCCAGAAATCCCCACCCACCTCCATTTCATTCTAAGCCACATGAATCTGAACTATGCTTTCCTTCGTGAATCTGCAGTTTCCCCCAAAGGGCTTTCCTTTCCCGTTCTCTAGGCTGCTCCTTTGCTTTATGTGCTGCACAACTGTCTTGTCCATGTGGCTTTCCAACACGTCCACCACAGCCATGGTGATGCCCATTGTGGAAGCAGTGCTGCAGGAGTTAGTGAATGCCGAAGATGACCGCGAGATGAATGGTACCACTGGCAACACCATCCTGGAAGAACGGGAGACTATAGGTACATGATAGTGACACCCACTTCTGTTCATTTATTTATAAGCATTTACACACCGCTTCATGTTCCAAAAATCTCTAAGCAGTCAGTGTGCGGTCGGTCTAAAAAACAAGCAATATATGATTACAACAGAAACAAAAATGCAACTGAATTCCATGCAGGAAGCTCAGTCCTCTGACTCTCCAGGTAGGGCTGAGGGACAAGCTGGACTGAAGCCCTGGACGGCCTCTACCAATCAATGTGGGCGATACTCAGCTAGGTGGACCAATGGTCCGACTCGGTATAAGGCAGCTTCCTGTGTTCCTGTGCAAAACTAATGAAACAGCAGTATAAAAACACCCACACAAAAGCAAACAGAACAGAAATTCAGAGGACTCGACACTTGTAAAACTGGATCCAAACTGGGAAAGCCTGGGCAAAAGGTCAAGTCTTTATAAGATGTCTGGAGCTGTTCCACATATGGCAGAGGGAAGGTCATTTCACAGTGCAGGGGCAACATCAGGAAATGCTCATTTTGGGGTCACCACTCTATGATATTCTGTAGGGTGTAGTGCCATGAGTATAATTTCCCTAGATGAACTAAATGATCTTACAGGTCTATATAAGGATAAGCAGTCTTTGAAATAATTTAACACTCTCTTGTTCATTTGATTATTATTATTTTTAGTAACTCATAATTATATTTATCTTACTTATTTAAATGCATTTTTAAGCGGGGAGGGAAGGGTTGAAGGCTAAGTCCAATCCTAGCGTACAAAAATTCTGAAATGCATATAGGAGAAACAGGCGCCACCACTCCACCCCTTTTTCTCCTGCTACAGGTCTTGGCGAAAAGCGCGGGCAAACGTCCCTGGAGCTCTTTTTCATCAACGAGGAGTAAGAATGAAGCCCGTCCAGCTCTAATGGACATTTGAACCCTTTCAGGTCACAATGAGATAAAATATAAAAGCAGGAGCAGCAAATGGCATGATCACAAAGATTTATTTTATTTTAAGGGTTTTTAGATGTTAAGGGAATATATAATGGGATGTATAACATGAAGCAGACACACTCAGGAATGGTTCATGGTGGTGGTGGCTGGAATTTTGTGTGCAAAGTGGCATTTCATTTGTTACATATATTTAGGCACCAGGTGAAAACACCCCCTTTTCCCCCAGCCTTTGGCTAATTAAACAATCTATGGCCTTTAAAACTGGGGGGGGGGGGGTGCTATTGTTTTTGTTTGTTACTAGCTTATGTATTTTGTGGTTTTTTGTATTGTAAACCACCCTGTGATGCTTGGATGAAGGGTGGTATAGACATTGAACCACAGCAAAAACTATTATTATTATTATTATTATTATTATTATTATTATTATTATTTCAGGTGGAAATTAAGGCTGTGTACACACTATACTTTGAAAGCACATTCAAAGCACACCCCCACACCCCAAACAATAATTCTGGGCCCTGTAATTCACCCCTCACAGAGTTACAATTCCCAGCAACTCTTAACAAACCTCAGACTTCTTTGAGGGAGGGAAATGTGCTTTAAAGGTATAGTGTGGATGCAGCCAGGTAATTTGATTTTCTTTCACATTGTTTGCTTTTTTAAGAGCTTTTTTAGTCTGCCCATTGCCAGAAGGTCCCAGGGTGGTGAATGCATACATATGAATTCATACAGTCAGTATATACCTTATGTGTTTGTGGTGGCAAACACCGATTGGCTGGGCTGGTGTGATGACTTGGAGGGCTCAATTTGCTTATGGAATGAAGCAGTTTGCAGTCAAGCTTCTCTAAGCACAGGGACAGTTGTCAGTTGGACTAAAACCTCTCACAGGTGATTGCCAAAGATGGGAGGTTGGAATCCTGAGAGATGCACAGAAGCTAAGGACTAAAGACGTCATCCAGGCTCACTAGTTCCCCTTCCCATGGGCCTTATCCTGATTCCAAAAGCCCACTCTCCTGTTCTCTTTAAAGATAACTTACCAATCAGTGTACAGAACATCGAAAGCCCAGGAGAAGAATGAAGAAATGAAACCAGTCCTCCTTTCTCCATTTCTCTTGCCCAGGCAAGCTCCTCACTCATCCATACTGGTTCTGTGCAGCAGGCTAAGAACCAGAACTAAGCAAACAGAAGCAAAGTTATGGCATCTCTCGTATTTCAACCTGTGACTTTCCTGTAAGATAAAGAGGTGGTGCCATGGACATATCTCTAACCTACCAATCTAGGGAAGTTCATATAAAGCGATGGTCTTCTTCAAAGAACCCTGGGAACTACGCTATAAGGGTTTATTCTGATGTTAGTCTCAGTGGTGGGGAAACTGGTGCAGGGCAACTCCTTCCCGCCATGTCCAGCAACATTGGAAGCCCCACTCCACGTGAAGCAACTGATTTCCCATTCCAGCATTGTACCTTCTCAGAACTGGACAACACCTGGGTGAACCACAGTGGTGATCTGGCTTGAACCAAGTCTCTACTCTGCCAGGAAACTCCTTTGGGCCAATCATTGTCAGCCTAGCCTTCGTTACTGGGTAGTTGTAAGCATAGAATTGGATGACCCCATCTAGAATGCCATATTTCATTTGCATGGTATGCAATTGTACAGCGGCAAATCAACATTAATTATCCTCTTTTTTTTTGCAGTGCTACAACTGCTGACCTCAGCTCTCTGATGCACTCCAAGGTATATTTTCGTAGGCTGAATCCACTCTGTAAAATAACAAGTTGATTCTACAGAAAGCAACACAGGATTGCATGGTTTTCTTCCCTTTAATGTGTCTGGAGGAGCACAACATTCTATGCTTAGAGGAATGCTGCACTTCTGTTCTGCTTACAGAGGTCTGATGTGGCTGCATGCACAGCGCAGGCCTGTAGTGTGAATCAGGGGGAGACCAGAGGTCAGTGGTAGAACCCACTTGCTTGGCATTCAAAAGCTCCCAGGTGCAGTCGCCATCATCTCCAGCCAGGGCTGCAAAAGACCCCTGCCCAAAGCCCTGAAAAGTCACTGCCAATCAGTATAGAGAAAAAAATACCAAGCAAGATGGGCCGAGAGGGATGGTGAAGAAGATATTTGTTTGCCTTTTAGGGAGAAACGACTTGATTTGAGAACAAAACTGACATACCTGGCCTCCCGTAAGAATCAGTGACCTGACTTGGTCTAAAGCAATTTCTTAGGTGCCTTGATATCTTCCCCAGGTTGTGCTACAGTTTTACTTTAGGTCGAGGGGCATCAACTGATTAATGGGGTGTTACTACCATTGTGGAGTTAGAATGTGTTGGTGGTTTCCAATTCCCATGTTCACATACAAAACTTGATCTCTTAGTACTTAATGAATTAACAGATGAATATACGAATTACCCCCATTGAAATTTATCGTGTTTGAGGTTATGTAAACGCTCTCATTAGCAAGCCTTCAGGTACCACAAAGCTTGAGAGAGAAAGCCAGTTACACAATGTTTTTATTGGGCCGGCTAACATTGCATTCACTTGGGAGTAACACCTTTCATATGCCCCCATCCTTTGGGTCAAGCAGTGTGCATTAATGTGTGGGTAGATTGATTTACCAGTGGTCAGGGAACTGAATCCGATTCCTCCTGAAGCCTCTGATGCTAATGTACAGGGAATGTGTTAACAATCCTTTTAATCCACTAACCAAACCATCCACAAATGGAAGCATTTTTTTCTCATAGGCAGTGATTGCTCTTTGGAGATGGGGGAGGGCAGGGGAACCTCTCTTGTTGTGAGTCACCAGGTGTTTAAGGTTTCAGATGATCAAGTGACTACCTGATAATTACAATACTTAACATTGGGTATTAGGTGACTACATAAGCAGTGGTTCTGTGAGGGGGCTGGCAAAAGCCGATTTTCGAAAGAATTGTACTACCAAACACTTGAAGGTGGCTTAATCCTGTCCCCATTAGCACTCCACTTCTAGATCCCTTGGTGCTTAAAAGTAGAGATGCCTGCTTAGGTTATAATTTAAACCCACATGTAGAATTTTAATACAAAATGCAAACATATCTCCTGAAGCATGGGAAAGGAAGTAATTTTGGAAGAGCAGCCAGTTTCTTTGTACCTTTTCTATTTCGGGCAAAAGTGGAGAAAGGATGTTCTGATGCTGGCTGTCTCATGCCCTGTCCACACCTGAGAAAAAAATGCCCCCTTCAGAAGCATGGGATGTCTTGCCAACCCATGCATTACATAAAATTATTGCTCTCACACAATCCCTCCTCCTCTTATGCATTTTGATTCACCCACTGACTTCCTGGTCAATGTGGCTGCATGGTGTGCATTAAGAATAACATTTTATTTGGCCCTAATTGTTTGGTAAGTGTTGTCTTGACTTGAAAAGACCTGCTCTACATCAAAACTTATTTTTTACTGGATCAGGCAGCAGCTTTGATAGTGTTTCTGTAATTGCACCAGTGGCGAAGCTGCATGCTCTGGCACCGGGGGCAGAGAGCAGGCTGGTGTGTGGCTGGTGTGCGTCCTGGGGGGTGTGGCATGCATCCTGGGGGCATGGCACCCGGCGCAGTGGGGGGTGCACAGCACATGTCCAGGGGGGCAGCCGCAATGGTATCCCCCCTCCCTGATGGTGCGGGGGCGGTGCGCTCCCCCCCCATTCCTCTGCCAGTGAATTGCACAGAATATTTCCGATAACATGAAATATCCACACAGGAATTTCAAACTGGCTTCCATCCAACTGGTGTCCTGGAATGGCACTGAAAGAGTTGTTTTCTAATGAAGGGGGATTTCTCTTCCTATATATAGAACATGAATGGCGTACACATGATTGCCAACACAATTGGAACTGTGAGCTCCAAAACCAACGGGCAGCATTTGCCTCAGGTAAGAACATTCTCCGCTATTGAGAGAGACAATGAATAACCCCAGGTTTATTTATCACCATTGCTTGGAAAAAGCAGAACATTTGATGACAGCGACTGTTTGTGTTTGTGGCTCTGTTCCTGCCACTGCAGCTATGCAGTTCAAAAGCTGTCCCCAGGGGTCCAGGATAAGAACATTCAGCTTAGCATGGGAGCTGTCCAGTGCAGAGCCCCAGGGAGCACAGCAAGACAGATGTTGTTTCAGCGATGCTTCGGCTGCGCCTGGGCAGCTTAATCTGTATTGTGGCCCTACCTTACCTAACCTATCTTCAGCATAGCTGTCAACTTTTCCCTTTTCTTGCGAGGAATCCTATTCAAAATAAGGGAATTTCCCTTAAAACGTTTTCACGTTGACAGCTATGATCTTCAGAGTCCTGATCCAGAACATGTGCCTTTAGAGCCCTGCTTCCTCCTCATGCATAAGACTCGGGAATGTTTGAGATGCTGCCAGAGAAGCACTGTGCTTCCAGCTCTGTTCTCCAGCTCTTTTCCTTCCCTTGGACCTCTGTACCTCGGGGTGATCCTGCAGGGTACAAAGCAGGGTGATGAAACCAGTGAGGGCAACTTGCTTCTTCCAACCCTATTATTATTTTTTTAAAGTGGTTAGTCACTTTATCTTGCCCAAGGCAACCCGAAGCGACTTCTAAACAAGCAAACAGACAACAACCCCCCACACAAATACATTAAAACCAAAGGGGAATAGAAATACATCAAAAACATCACACCCAGCATCTGACAGTATCCTCAAGCAGGACACTGCCCGGGGTGATGATATTGGAAGGGCTCTTGGTGTCTGCTGACTCCCTTTGACCCTGGCAAGCACTAAGCTCCTTGTCCTAAGTTTCATTCATTTCTGGTCTGATCCCACCAGGAAAGTGGTGCGATATGCCACTACTTTTCATATGCATAATACTCCTACTATTTTTTTATATTAAACAGTCTATCATAAAGTGATCTTTCCCTCAGTGTGTAGTGCTGGATCCTGACTTGACAAAGTGCCCTGTTGCAGGGTTCTCCTGTGTTGATAACCCCACCCTTCTTTGACTTACGTCATGGCCGCAACACTGTTCCTAATTAGTCATCAACACCAGATGATTTTTCTCTCATATACTATAGTGTCACTCTTAAGCGTTGCGGAGAACTAAAATGGCAGCTGAAAGACTTGGTCACCCAGTGTTGATCAGACTAAAATATTTTAAAGGAGACCCATTTCAATGCCAGCCCCTGCTGAAGTGTTGAGGCTCATGTGGCGCTAGGCTTGGCTCGTGTCCCATTTGAGAGATGAATGTTAGATTGAGAGAATGAGAGAGCAATTTGCCCTAGACCATTCCAGACATGATTAATTTGAGGCGGAAAGTCTGCCAACTATTGCCCTGGACTTCTCACGTGATTTGAGGATTATGAGCTCCTAACAAAACCTGTCTGAACTGAATCTTTCCCGCAAGGCTGCATGTGGCTCAGCAGCCTGATTACTGTTGAGCCTTTATTTCTGTCACTGACGAAGCAGTTTTCAGGGAACTGGAGAAGACACCTGTTCTGAATCTTTCTAGTTCTTAGAGAAAATAAGCTGTCTGCAGAACACAGGCATCCTGGTACACAGAAAGCATATTTATCAACCCATCAATGAAGCTCAGAGAGCCCTTTCTGCTCTTAACTTAGCTTCAGTAGAAACTTCCAGTTAAACCCTTTCACCAATACTCATAGCCATTCCCATTTCAGTGTGAATTAAACCATTTATGCTTAACAATATCTGCCCTGTGATTTTCTGCCGTGCTGGTTGGTGTGGACCGCCCTGCATTTTGCTTTCAATTTTAAAATTTACACCCTGCTTTTCACGGTGTAGGTCTCAAAGCAGCTTACAACACCCAAGAATTACAACATACAGACATGTGTTAAATGATGTGGTTTCTTTACAGGCTCAGATCCTTGTTCTGCCACCTCAGCCTCAAAGTTTAGACCTAAGCAGTAAGCCTCGGTACCCAACCAAGCACGATCAGATGGTCTGCAAGTGCCTCTCGTTGAGCATCTCCTACGCGGCAACCATTGGGGGACTCACAACCATCATCGGCACCTCCACAAACCTCATCTTCCTGGAGTATTTCAACAAGTGAGTAATGCATGCGCAGTGCACATTTAGCAAGACCAGTGTAAAGACCTGGTAACCTGGTGTGGTTACAAGCCATGTGAAGTGAATGGCAGGAGTTGGTAATGCAGGTGAGCTGTGCACAAGCAAGCTGCCAGCTAGCTCTGCTGAGGCTCTTTTTATTAGCACAATATGCAAAACCAGTCAGATACATTTTGGACTGTGACCTTTACACATCTTCCAATCCTGAGATCGTGGGGTGGTACAAAGTTATTTTGGCACCTGTTTCCACTGCGTCATTTTCCCCTTGAACAATGTATGATGAAGGAGAAAAGGTCACAGACAGGGCATGGCAGACCACCAAAAGAGCAAAGGTTAAATAGAGGGCATGGTGTTTAGACAGCTATGGCTTGTCTGCGGGTGGAAGTGTGCTCCACACCCGGCGGTCATTCCTTCATCATGGAGCTGGTTCCTGGTGACCCTTATAAGAGCCCTGAAAGGAAGCAAAGACAGTCCCCGTATAACAGATGGTGAGCTAAGACTGAGAAATAGTGACCTGCTTCAGGCTCCTCAAGAGAGAGAGAGTTCTCGCTGAAGTACACATTTGAACCGGTGGACTTTGTCACCGCTCTTTTAACCGTACCCTAGACGGAACAGGCTTCTTTTTTCATTTCTATTTACGCTCTTCTCTAATTCTTTATCACTACAGGCTCTGGAATTGAAGGGGAGGTGGTGGCAGGGAGGGGGGAATCCTTTTGTTTCTGGGACGGCTCCATCTGTTCTAGTGATTTGTTCCCCCTGCAAAGTAATAATCTTCCAAGTGCAACATCATTATGCTTTTTAATGTAGCAAATTATGTTAACAATAGATGGGAAATTAATGAAGCCAAAGGCATGCCTAAACTACTTCAAAAGAAAAACGATCTGATTTTATGAATATTTTCATGCAAATTTACTGTTTAACGATTAGCAAGAGGGGAGGGAGAGAGGGGGAGGGAATAAAATGCCTGAGAGGGGAAAACAGAATTTAAGGACGGTGCTCTGAATTCCCCCCGCCCCCTCAAGAACTCTTATATAGAGTTCTCCACAATGGAACCTATTGTGTTTGCTCAGCCAACCAAAGAGCCAAAACTTGCTATCTCTCAGGTTACCCTGAAGGCCATTTCACAGATTACACATCCAAGGCTGAAACTCGGTGTTATGGCCCATGCTTGGCATGCAAAAGGAGCCAGGTTCAATCCAGGTAGGACTGGGAAAGATTTATGGAGAGTCGGAGTCACCAATACGGAGCGAAATTAACTACCGTATTTTTCGCACCATAGGACACACCGGACAATAGGACGCACTTTGTTTTAGAGGGGGGAGAACAAGGGAAAAAAATTCTCCCCCTCTCTGCCCAGCGCCCCTTCAGTGAAGCGGCAGGAGGTGCTGCGCAGAGAGGGGGAGAACTTTCCCCCTCTTGTTTTCCCGCTCTAAAACAAGGTGCCGTTAAGGTGCGTTCAGGCGGCTACCTTGGAAGCCTGGAGAGCGAGAGGGTCGGTGTGCACTGACCCCTCTCGCTCTCCAGGCTTCAGGTTCCTTCGACCTGCTCTTTGGGGCTGGAGGGGGGAATCCCACCACCAGCCCCAAAGAGCAGGTCAGGGAGCAGCGGAAAGGCGCAGCGGAGGTGCTCCTGCCATAGCCGCGTGTCACCTCTCCAGCCGGGAAAGGGTTGTGGGGCTATGGCTTCTTTAGCCCCGTGCGCGCTCTCCCGGCTGGGGAGGTGACGCGCGGCTATAGAGGCTCCTGCCATAGCCGCGCGTCACCTCTCCAGGCAGGAGAGGGTCGCGGGGCTATGGCGTCTTCGCTCCATAGGACGCACACACATTTCCCCTTCATTTTTGAAGGGGAAAAAGTGCGTCCTATAGAGCGAAAAATACGGTAATGCTCTGACTTGTCTATTATGGAACTTACGTCAAGGGAGTTCTGCATAGCAACTTCCTTATCCTTCTGATGCTGGCAGATGAAGACTTTTCATAGAATAATAAAATTGTAGAGTTGGAAGGGATCCCAAGGATCGCCTAGTCCAACCCCCGGCAATGCAGCTGTCCCATTTGGGGATCAAACCTGCAACCTTGGTGCTATTAGCACCATGCTCTAACCAACTGAGCTATACTAATCTTTTTGGGGGCTGTTCATTTGTTTACTTGGTATTTTAAAGGCATCCTGAAGCAGGCAGTACACAAGGTGAACTTGAAAAGGGAAAAGCATCGTATAGGTCCCTGATGCTGCCTGAAAAAGCATACTACAAAGTGGCTGTTTTTGATTTCCTTACAGCCATTATCCCAATGCTGAAGTGGTGAATTTTGGAACCTGGTTCTTACTCAGCTTACCCATCTCCCTCATCATGCTGGTGCTGACCTGGTTTTGGATGCATTGGCTTTTCCTTGGATGCAAGTAAGTGGGGTCTGCAAGATCTTCGTAAAAGCTCAGCACAGCTCAGCAGTAGAGCATATGTTTTGCATGCAGAAGCTCACAGAAACGTCCACCATTTTGCATCATTGGATGTCCAATACTTTTGTCATGGGAAGACATCTAATGGAGCTGAATGTTGGGAGATTCATGCATACTTAAACCATGGAACTCACTCCCACAGGAGGCAGTAATAGCCACTGTCGTAGTCCTGTGCTGCCACAGCAGAGCTCAGTGGAGGGAGAAACCAGCCAACCAGCTGTGTCTCAGGGGGGAACTTGCCTGAAGGCAGAGTCCGTATACAAGGTCCAGTCCAGTCCTAAGGTCAGGAGTATCTCAGTTCATGTAGTCCAGTGGTTCTCAACCTGTGGGTCTCCAGATGTTGTTGGACTACAACTCCCATCATCCCTGAGCTCTGGCCTTGCTAGCTAGGGGTGATGGGAGTTGTAGTTCAACAACATCTGGGGACCAACAAGTTGAGAAAGGCCAATGTAGTCAGACGGTCCAGGGGTCAAGAAAGCTGAGGGTCCAAGGTCACGAGAAGCAAGAAGCAGCAAGGTTTGGCCAGTAATGACAAATGTTGTTTCCAGCAACTGAATGAGGCTCGAAACCCTGCTTAAGAAAGCTGGAGCCAGTTGGTTCTCATTAGGAGCAAGAAGGCTGATCAGTAGCGGGTGGAGTCACTTTGCCTCCTGCTCCTGCAGACTACTGCTCAGCAGATGAAGGTGACTCCTGGCCCATGACAACCACTAACTTAGCTTGCTTTAAAAGAGGATTAGACAAATTCATGGAGGAAAGGGCTATTGATGGCTACTAGCCGTGATGGAGGCTAAGCTCTGGTCCCACTGTCAGAGGCAGTATGCCTCTAAATACCAGTTGCTAGGAATCGCAGGAGGGAAGCATGCTGTTGTTCCCAGGTCCTGTTTGTTGGCTTTTCACGGGCACCATTTGCTTGCAAAAGTGCAGCTTTGTTCTGGTTGACTGTTGAGATGCTCATGTATCCTTGCTCCTCAGATGAAAGATTGGAAGGTATCTAAGGTAGGACCTTGTCTGCCTTGGCACCCACTCTTTGGAATTCTTTGCCAAAGGATATCTGCCTAGCAACTTCCATGTCCTCATGTTGCTGGCAGGTGAAGATTTCCCTTAGAACCATAGAACTGTAGAGTTGGAAGGGACCATGAGGCTCCTCTACTCCAACCCCTGCAATTCAGGAATCTTTTGCCCAATGTGGGGCTCATGACCCTGAGTTTATTAATCAATTATATTTGGAGGTTTTATTTTTTAAAAAAACCAGAGCCTTCTGTTCTTCAAGTCACATTGAGAACTATGCTAAATAAAGAAATAGTTTTCATGCTAGTACATGAATAGCTGGAAGATGTTAAAAACCTCTGGTTGCCCCTGGCTTTTTCTGGCATTAAATATGGATCTGTTCCATGTGCTTTACCATTCAGTCCAATAAGTTGTCTGTTCCCTAGCAAAAAAGGGGGGGCTATAGTAAATCAGAAATAATTTATAATCCCACGACAAGTCCTAACATGATCCACAGTTCTTTCACAAAGAGCATTTGCATTCCACATTACAGTTCCAAATATTCTCTCTAACAAGGGTTGGTTTTTTAAAAAATCCGTAAGGGAATTAAAGCGTTAGCAACCTATTATGAAACATTAATGGATTCTGAGGCTCATTAATCTCTGACTCCTGCTTACTGCAGTTCATTCAGGAATATATTCTCCTGGAAACCTGATGCTGCAATAGTTCAAGAGGAGGGAATATGTGAAGACACCAAAGACTATTCTTTCTGACCTAGACAGTGAGTCAAAAGTGTAGGACAAAGCAAGGGAGAAGATGGGGGCAAGAAGGTCCTCGGAACAGGGTTTGTTTGAGCAGAAGCTTGATTCTTATCGTGACAGTGTCAGGGTTTGGTGAGATGCCCCTGTGCCATCCTGGCATTGCCAGCATCAACCCAGTGTGGCATGGGCACTGTCATTTATGAGTGACATCATGGGGAAGAAATTCAATTCAGTTCACATTTGAATGTGAATCGACCTAATTCATAGTCATCCTTAAAAAGTTGCCCTTCTCTGAATATTGCAATGCAGTTCTCCGGTCAGGTAAACATATACAAAAATGCATATGCTGGGTAAACTGGGCATAAAAAATTGTGCATGCATACAAACATGCATTATATTAAGGTAAATTGCTTGCAAAAAATGTTTCTAGAAGAAAGGCGTATAACTTTTCATGAGAACTTAAAAAGAATTTGCAAACTCATGTGGAAAACTAAATTTAAGGCTAGGAAAATGAGAAACTGAGTGAAACCAGAATTGACAGATTCGCTCCTTCCTACCTCAGATTGACTTAGATAACAAGAGGCTTTGGAATTGTCACAAGTATGTAGAGGGCAGAGCCAGAGGTGAGGCCAGACCCCTTTAAAGAGGAAAGGGAAACTGAAGGGCGGGAGGCAAGAGAGAGTGAATGCAGCACAAGAAGAAGTCAGGCTAGGCAGGTTAGGAGAAAGAAGGCTGGGACGCCCTGCTTGATTCACCTGCCACCCAGAGATTGGGCAAAGAAACCTGGACCTTGCATGGCAATACCCAGAATTGAAGATGATGAGCCCTAGTTGAGTAGGTCACTTACCCTGCTGAGAACCACATAATTAAACTACAACTATTGCACCATAGGGATGTGGGTGGCGCCATGGGTTAAAACACAGAGCCTAGGACTTGCCAATCAGAAGGTCAGTGGTTCAAATCCCTGCGACGGGGTGAGCTCCCGTTGCTTGGTCAATGCTCCTTCCAACCTAGTAGTTCAAAAGCACGAAGTGCAAGTAGATAAATAGGTACCACTCCGGCGGGAAAGTAAACAGCGCTTCCGTGCGCTGCTCTGGTTCACCAGAAGCGGCTTAGTCATGCTGGCCACATGACCCGGAAGCTGTACGCCGGCTCCCTCGGCCAATAAAGCGAGATGAGTGCTGCAACCCCACAGTTGCCACCATTAGGGTCAGGGGTCCCTTTACCTTACCTATTGCACCTATAAGTGATATGTAATGGCCACCAACTTGGGTGATTTAAAAAAAGGATTAGACAAATTCATGGAGGATAAGGCTATTGGAGTCTACTAGACATGATAGCTAGGTTCTGCTTCCATTGTTGGACGCAGTAGGCCTCTGGGTACCATTTCCTGGGAATCGCAGGTGAAGAGAGTGCTGTTGTGCTCGCTTCCTGCTTGCAGTATCTGGTGGATCACTGTGAGAACAGGATGCTGAACTAGATTGGCCCTTAGTCTGATCCAGCAGCTTCTTTTTATGTTCCGTGTCCTTGTCCCCAGGTACTTTGTGTAACTGGATTTCAGCACTTGGTTCCACAAAATTAGCCAACTTTGTGGGAGGCTGCATCAAGGGCAACTTTTCCTTGGTTCCAGCTGCTCTTTGCAGCATGGAGGAGCAGGGGTTGTGGTGGAATCCTGCTTGGAGAAGTACAAAGAGGTACAAAAACAAAGACGCACCAGAGAAGGAAGCTACCCTGTAAATAGGGTCACTCCTGTGAAGCTTCAAAACTAGCCAAGACTTGATTCCCTGGTGCTGTTGATTCAGAGAAATGAATATATATTTTCTGGCTGTGATGACAGACTCACTGACTGAGGGTGAGTGAGTCAGAGGCTAGGAGATAGAATGTCTTGGCTCTCCCAAAGGATGCCTTGTTTCCCAATAAGTTGTGCGCTCAGAAAGAAGGACACATGAAGCTGTGTCATCCCACATTGTTGCTCAGTGGTAGCCAACATGGTTTCCTCCTGATGGCTGGACTGCAACTCCCATCATCTCTGACCATTGACTATGCTGGCTGAGACTAATGGCAGTTGGAGTCTGACAGTTTCCATGTTGGCTATCCCTGCTCTAGCCCTTTGTTGTTTGCTCTGACCAGCAGTGGCTCTTGAAGGTCTCCAGTAGAAGTCCTTCTCATTGTCTGCTCCATGACCATTTAAGTGGAAATCAAACTTGGGGGTTTCTTCATGCAAAACATGTGCTCTGCTACTGAGCTGCCCCTTTCCTGAGGAGGCTAAAGAGCAAGAACAGGTTTATCGTGAATGGAGAAGCATTGTCGATTCCATGAGTCACCTGACCGATTGCTGAGTCAGTGGAGTTTGGAGAATAACAGCGGCATTATGTTTGAAGTTCTGCCTTTTGGCCAGCTGCATCAGCAGTATTCAAGAACGGTGGCCAGCTGGCTTGATGTACTTTCTTCTGATAAGCTGCTACTGCTGCGGTAGAGTCTTGTTGCTAGAGTCCTGACCTGAGTGCTGTGGGGCTTACTGTGATATGCTCTTTGCTCAGGTGCAGATTGCACCAGCTTTTCATGCTGTGTTCAGAACCATTTCTTGCAAAACACAGGTGGTAGAGATGTAGGGGCCAGCTCATTTTAGCTCAGAGGTGAGGAATCTCTGGCCCTCCAGATGATATTGGATGCACTGCCTTCAGTGCTGACTATCGGCTGCTCACAGTCACAGTTACAGTTTTTCCTTACATGCCCATGATCCCTGACTTTTGGGCACATTGGCTAAGACTGATGGGAGTTGTAGTCCTGCAACTTCTGGAAGGCCACAGGTTCCCCACCTGTGAAGAGAAACCACATTTCAGTGGAAACTATGCAGAAGGGGATCTACCCCTGTTTATTTTCACTATCACCCAAAAATGGTACAGTTTGGGTGGGTTTGAGAGAGGGATTGTAATTGGCTCACCTTTATCCAGTATATGGATTTCAAGTTGAGTGATGAAAATAGAGAATATTTGGTGCAAACCGAGTTATACAACTCTAATTGCTTTCTGTTTCCATGCCTCACATTATTTTCAGTTTTAAAGAGACATGTTCACTAAGCAAGAAGAAGAAGACCAGACGGGAAGAGATGTCTGAGAAGAGAATCCAGGAAGAATATGAGAAACTGGGAAATATTAGGTAAAATCATAGAGTCATAGCTTTGGAAAGGACATTAAACATCACCAGGTTTAGCACTCACAGCATCCTGTCTAGTTTCTGCTTAAATATCTACAGCAAAGGAGAGATCCACCACCTCCCGAGTCAGTCTGTCAAACAGCTCCTATCAGTAGGAAGTTTCTCTTGAGCTTCAGCCACAATCTGCTTCCCTTCCATTTCCACCCAAGGGGAAGGGCTGTAGCTCAGTGGTAGAGCACCTGCTTTGCATTCAGAAGGTCCCAGGTTCAATCCCCGGCATCTCTAGGTAGGACTGAGCATTTTCCTTGTTTGGAACTTTGGAAAGCCATTGCCAAGTAGCATAGAAAATACTGTGTTCGATGAACCAATGGTCTGGCTAGGTATACAGAAATTGCCTATGTTACCTCTTGAGTCTGTTCTGTCTTCTAGTCCTTTAAATATTTGAAGAACTGTATAGGTTTTGCTTCTCATGCATAGGCATCGGAGAATTTGATTCAATTTGCATTTAAAGGCAAAGTTACATAATTTGTACTTTCTATAACATTACATGAAGCAAAACTCAGGTGTTCTTTGAAGTTCACACTTCTCTGAACTTTGCAGTACAGTTCTCCAGCCAAGCAGAAATGCATGTATCAAGTTAGAGTGCAGCTAGAAAAGCATATAATTAACATTAATGAACATGACATACAAAAATGCATTATATTAGGGGAACCTGCTTTGTAGAAACGATCATACTAGAAAAGAATTGCTTACAAAAAGGTGCATATTAGAATAAATTCTGATGGATTTTCAGGCAGACTCTTTACTTTGAAAAAATCATAAACTAATGTGGAGAATTTAAGATTGGGAAAATGAGAAACTGAGAGGATGGAAAAATTGCCCGTTGCTACACATGCACAGCTGTCAACTGAGGAGCTGAGTGTTTGTTTTTTTAACTAAAAAAAAAAAGAGCTAACTGCTAATCGGTAAAATCTTTCTTTATTGGCCTCTCTAGTATTAAATGCTTCCCCTTGTCCCATTTCCTTTCTAGTTATCCAGAGTGGGTGACAGCGTTCTTTTTCATCTTGATGACTTTGCTCTGGTTTACAAGGGAGCCTGGATTTGTCCCAGGCTGGTCATCCTTCTTTGGAAAGTAAGTTCCTAGTTCGTAGCAATAACTTTTCCAAGTGGAGTTGGGAGGGGCAGAGTGGGCAAGAAGGACCTGTGTAATATTTGGTGCCATATTTAATACTGAAATGTCAACGAGGCCTCCAGCGCCACATTTGGTGTCAGGCAAACGCCCCACCACCACCGAGACCATTCCATTGTAACTATCCAACCTCCCAAAATGTTAACACCTCTTGCGATGGTTTGACCCCTTTCCACTTTAACAGTACAAATTCTACAAGCACCCTCCATATCTCCTCAAAATCATTTCTCCTGCATATTTCCCGTTTTACCTTAATGACACATGTCAATTTATCATTAATAGCTATATCCCACACCTCTTGATGCCATTCTTCCATTTAAATTATACTTGCCCCTTCCACTTCCTAGCTATAATAATGTGTGCAGCTGTCAATAAATTTGTGGGCAAGGCCTTCGGTCTATGCTACCCTTAAGCCATTTATGGCAATAAATGCGCTGCCACAACTTACAAACGTAGTTTTTCAGTTTTTCTGAAGATACATATGTGAAGCTTCAGCCCCAAATATCTGAAGGACCATCTCCTTCCCTCCAGACCCTCTCAGGCTGTAAGATTTGAGACTTTCTTTGTTGTTGTAGCACCTTCAGAGATTTGAGGGATGACAACTCAGGAGAGGGCATCTTTTGGGGCTGCCCCCATGCTGTGGAATTCCCTCCCCACAGAGGTAGATTTGGCACCTTCATTTTGTAGTTTTCCTAGCATTTTGAAGACACATCTCTTTGTCATGGCCTTTGACACTTGAGATATATATTAGGACCCACCCTGGTGTTACTGTTCCTATAACATGTATAAAATATATGGCGTGGTGTTTTGGGGGTGTAACATGGAGTCTAAGAACTGCAAGAACATGAGCAGCATGCCAGTAAAACTTGCAACAAACCATTAAGAGGAAACAGGAGGAGCCACACAGATCTCTGCTGCCTGTTTTCCCTGCCTTCTATAAAACAACTCCCATGTCTCTTCCCTAGGAAAGGCTATCGGACCGATGCCACAGTCTCTGTTTTCCTTGGGTTCCTCCTCTTCTTGATTCCAGCAAAGAAGCCATGCTTTGGAAAGAAGGGGAAAGGTATGAGGGACTCAAACATAAGAGCACTCGCCACATCTTGTATTAGCTCCTTTTGGTCTCCAGCCACACACAAAGTACCTGCAGGGGAGTTCACACATTCAAATCAGTCACAACAGTGAGCTTCAGATAATATTTGTTTCCAGATTGGCTCCCATTGGGAGCATTTGCGTAACATACGTAGGTAAGAGGCAATGATGTATGATGATTAACCACATGGGGGCAATTCCAGCCATTTGCATTCTAGTTTGCTTGTGAACTCTGAGGCTTTCCTGAAAACTGGCTGTCAGATGATGGTGTGGTTGCTCGAGAGTAAACAGGCAAGACTCCGACCTGTCTTTTCCAGACTTTATTCTTGGTGCAAACTATTTACAGTGAAGAGCGTTGTAAGTTCATGTCTGGCTCAGTCGCTAGCAGAATCTGGGAGTGGTCGGTTTTTGTACCTCCCCCAGCATAAAAGTCGCGTCGCCCCCAACCTTTTCCATCCCTCCCTGCACCAGAGCCTACTGCACAGAATGGGCGCTGGCAGGGGCGAACTTCCCGCCTCTCCGGTTTGCTCGGCTTGGTGTTGAGGCTCTCCCTAGCATCCCCTGGTCCCTGCACCTCTTCTCCACTGGAGGTGGGGCTTTCCTCCTCACCGGAAGAGGAACTGCTTCGCAAGATTTTCGGAGGCTCCCTGTAACACAACTGCCCTTCCATCTCTCGCCTCTGAGCTGATGGCAGTTCCCTGACACTGGCCTTCCCTAAGATGATGCCCTCCTGATGTTTGGGACTACAACTCCCATCAACCCCAGCATCATACAACCATGCCGGCTAAGCTATATGGGAGTTGTAGTCCAAAACGTTGGGTAAGGCTACTGTAAAAGAAGGCAGTGGTCTTCTGCTAGATTAATAAATTCTTACTTTTTATAGGAGGGCCAGACTTCTTTCCCTGAGGCTTTTCTTTTCACTAGGCTCTGGCTGGGGCCAGCTTCCATTTTCTCAGCCCTTTTGTCCCATCAGCCTCCCCTCCCAATATATAATGTCAAAGGCCAGGTTAAAGAGGTGTATCTTCAGCATATTGCAGAAGCTAAAGGTCTAAACAAACCTTTTGGTGGGGGGGGGGATTCCACAATTTAGGGGTTGCCTCTTCCTTACCTCAGATTCTCCAGGCTTGTTTCAGCTGGGCATGATCACAGTTTGCTTCACACACTCACTTCAGCAAATTGAAAGCAGAACAGGAACAACAGTTTGCCCCTCAGAAGAAAATGTTGGCCTTTTGCGACTGCTAAGTGAGACCACTTTTAACCCAAGCCTTCTTTTTCGGCACATCCTCAGTGTATGCGGTTTCATATAGGCTCCAGTTTCTAACTAGATTTGTGGGTTTTGTTTTTTTAAAAAAAGTTCAGAACAAGCAACCAATGTAGAGGGAGGATGTCTTCATTCCTGTCAGTCCTGTTCCAGGACTCTGTGTTTCTTTGTGAACATTTCCTGACAATGTGTTCCATGCCAATCTGAGTTTGCAAAAGAACCTGGGGAAATGACAATTTTATTTTTCTATGTGTGTTTTCCTTTGATGCAGGAGATGTTCCGAATTCCACCAATGTTAACGCAGGGGAACCAATAATCACCTGGAAGGACTTTGAGAAAACCATGCCCTGGGAGATTGTGGTCTTGGTTGGAGGAGGTTACGCTTTAGCAGCTGGATGCAAGGTAACACCATTATCCCCAGATAACCCCCTGTGCTATAAAACTGGGATCCACACATGTCAGAGCTCCTTAACAATGATGTAACTCTCTTCAAAAGAATGCTGTTTTATCTCAGGTCACACACACCCTAGTCACTCAGTTTCACTCTCTCTGGTGCCCCTAAGATACTATTCTTTGAGCTTCCTCCCTCTCTCTTTTTCTCCTTCCTGTTCTACAGATGTCCCTATGACACTGGACTGACATTATACTCTGAAGACTGATGGCTGGATGACTTTCACTGTAATATTGGGGCCTAGTCACAGTTAGAGATGAAGTGAATTCAGCACTGCAGTGAATTCCCTGCAGTTGGAAATCCTCACCCCAGTTTGAGACCCTCGGTCCCTCCCGAATTTAGAAGTGGGTCAAAAACATTGATTTAGTTCTATTAATTTGTACACCATCCTTCATCATGTTGACATGATCTCCAGGATGGGTTCCAGCAATACATAAAAATGCATTGAGCAAAATTTATAAATGAATGTTAATGCAATCCAGTTAGTAAAATCACAATAGACCAAAAGCATGAAGCCAAAGAATTCCTGGTGGCTGCAGGAAGGCCCCAGGCTCAATCCTTAGTTTTATTTTTATTTTTATTTTATTTTATTAATTAGATTTATATACCACCCATCATACAATCTTAGGGTGGTTCACAGAATAAAATACAGGATAAAAACAAGTAAATAGCTAAAACAAAACAGCAAAACAATAACCCCCGCTTCGCTTCCCTACTCTACTCTGAAGGCAAGATTAACATAAGCATACTGAAGTGGAAGCAACATGAAGACCATTTCTTTCAGCAATCTCCCGTTATGATGAGAGATCCCCCACTCACTATTCTGAACAACTTTTTAAAAAAATAAAAAATGCAAGAGTGCACTATACTAAGAACACACATACAGTTTTGCAGAAATAGATTACTGTACAGGGATTGCCAAATCAGAATTGTAGGGTCATCTTAAATTTATGAGGAAAACCTACTTAGGGAACAAAAGTTATTGTGAGCATTTTAATCTAAATATAATCATTGCTGCAATTATTAAGAAAACTATAGTAACCAATGCCTTTTCTCTGGCTTCTGGCCCATGTAAACTCTCTTTCTCCACCAGCCATCAAGCCCACTGCCTCCTCTTGCTCCATGACAGGAAGGTATCGGAGAAAGTATCTCCAAGCAGGGCATTTGGAAGGTGGGGGCAGAGATGAGGGAAAGCCCCATTGTGTTACTGAGGGTCCTTGTGCTATCTTCTGCTAATTTAGCAGAACCCAGGCCACATAGCCCAACTTGGTACAGTGGTACCTCGGGTTAAGAACTTAATTCGTTCTGGAGGTCCATTCTTAACCTGAAACTGTTCTTAACCTGAGGTACCACTTTAGCTAATGGAGCCTCCTGCTGCAGCCACGCCGCCACTGCATGATTTCTGTTCTCATTCTGAAGTAAAGTTCTTAACCCGAGGTACTATTTCTGGGTTAGCAGTCTGTAACCTGAAACGTCTGTAACCTGAGGTACCACTGTATTCAGTTATATGTGCTCAACTCAGTGTAGTGGCCAGTCCATTATGTATTCCTGCAGAGTAGTGAGACTGATGTCGTGAAAAGATGCTGATGGACTGGAGATGTCCAACTTCAGTTTTTTTCACCCAATGTCTTTCCCCCACAGACTTCCGGCCTTTCCACATGGATTGGGCGACAAATGTTATCCCTGAGTAGCCTTCCCTCTTGGGCTGTCAGTCTGTTGGCCTGTGTCCTGGTCTCCATAGTAACAGAGTTTGTTAGTAACCCAGCAACTATAACCATCTTCCTACCTATTTTATGCAGCATGGTGAGTACAGACTTTGGATCAATTTATTATCAATCAATCACCTAGTTACAGATATGTCTCAAGGCAACTTGCAGACATGTCTTTAAAACAGCTAAAATGGTTTTTAAAACAGTACAAATACAGCTGAAAATAAGTTTGAAAACAATACAAAATGAAGACCCTAAAACTTGCTGAAACAAACTTATTATTGCAAAGTAATCCTACACGTGCGTACCTAAAAGTAAGCGCTCTCAGGTAAATGGATATAAGATTGCTGCCTTAGTCTTGGAGTCAGCAACCTCTTAGGACCCATAAGCTGTTGTGGACACTACAAAATACCCATTTCACAGAAGAAAAATGGATGGTGCTCAACCGCCCCTCCCAAATAGAAAGCAAAACACCAAGTCCCCTCACACAAAACAAATAAAACACAGACCAAAAAAAGTAACGTTCTGCCCCCAACCTAAGGCAACCCCTCCCCCAGGGCAAACAACCAGAACCTGCACCCCCGCCAGCCCAAATTTTAAAAATGAAAGGACAAGGGGACTTGGGTGCAGTGGTGCCTACAGGTACCACTTTGGAGGCCTTGATCTAATACTCTATCCACTAAGAGATGCGGGTGGTGCTGTGGTCTAAACCACTGAACCTCTTGGGCTTGCCGATCAGAAGGTCGGCAGTTTGAATCCCCATGATGGGGTGAGCCCCCTTTGCTCAGTCCCAGCTCCTGCCAACCTAGCAGGTTGAAAGCATGCCAGTGCAAGTAGTTAAACAGGTACAGCTGCAGTGGTAAGGTAAACGACATTTCTGTGCGCTCTGGTTTCCATTGCGCCAGAATCGGTTTGCTCATGCTGGCCACATGACCCGGAAAGCTGTCTGTGGACAAATGCCGGCTCCCTTGGCCTGAAAGTGAGATGCGCACCGCAACCCCGTAGTTGCCTTTGACCGTCCAGGGGTCCTTTACCTTTTACCTTATTCTATCTACTACCTGACATTGGCTCTGAAAAACAATGGTTTCCTGCGAGGAATAGGTTTTGGTAGTCTACTACTTTCTTTGACTACAAATGCTCATATCTCCCCTTTCTCTTTCCAGTCGGAAACCCTACAAATCAACCCTCTGTACACCCTGATCCCTGTCACCATGTGCATCTCTTTTGCGGTGATGCTGCCAGTGGGCAACCCCCCAAATGCCATTGTCTTCAATTATGGGCACTGCCAGATCAAAGATATGGTAAGTACCAAGAGTGATGCATCCAGAATGATCAATGAGCAAATTGGTTAGATAAGGGGCAGTGATAATAATCAGTTAACACTGCAACTGTTTTGTTGTGGTGCTTAAATGATGGCTTTCCCCAAAATTTGAAACTGGATAGCATCTATCATTTCAATTGTGAGTTCGGATTGGATGTCAACATTTCTGTGAATTGCACAAGGAATGTGCTTGAGGAATCTTGACTAGGGACCAAGGAAGAGCCTCTTACCGCTGTACAATAGGGTAAATAATTTTACACAAGTGCCAAAGGTTTCTATGCATGCACCGCCTCCATCCTCCATCTAGATATTACCCCAGTTCTGCTACATGTGTATGTCGGAACCCACATGCCCATGACCCCAACATGCACTTCTACGAGAGCAATGAAAACACTAGCATAGAGACAGGCATGTGTTGGTTTAAATGCATGTATACCTTTTACCTTGGGTCTGAGGTTTCCTGAAATAAGGCAATACTTAGAGTCAGGTTCTCAGCCAGGTGTTGTGCAGAATGAGTTACCTGGATATGGCACAAAGGCAAAACCAAGAGGAGAATTATCCTACCCCATTATCAGCAGCTTCATCAATGAAGTTACTAGCACAATTTACAAGCAGACTGGATCAGATGGAGAAGGGCCAAAGGAAGGTGTGGTTGTGGATGTGCTTGTGTTAAAATGTGGAAAACCACCACAGTACAAAAGAGATTTCTCACCTGCTCTAGGATGAACTGAAATCTCACCACCCCTTGCTAACGTTGAGGATTTTGTCCAGACCATTTTAGAAAAATGATTAATCTCATAATTTCATTGAAGGCATGTCTACCTGTACCCCTTGCTACCTTGAGAGGAGAAGTCCTGCCTTAACTGATGACAATTAATGTGGTCTGTTTCCCTTGTTTTTTTCATTCATAGATCAAAGCTGGCTTTGGTGTCAATCTGATTGGTCTAGTGGTTGTTACAGTGGCAATAAATACTTGGGGAATTAGACTCTTTCACTTGGATAAGTTTCCAGACTGGGCAGCAGCCAGCAATGTCACTGGCCCATCATAGTCAGCGTCCACAGAACTTGCTGGCTCACAGCAAGTTGGGAGCAAAATATTTGCACAGCTGTTAAGAAAGGAAAACACTTGAGTGTATATTTGTTCCATTAACCTGAACTAAGTAAGAAGTAACTCTGTTGGAGGCTTCCCTAACGATCACCATATCTCTGCCATCTAGTACTGAAGGGGTTGGGAAAAGCATGCATTATTCTTGTCTTTCAGCAATACCATGGAATTGCTTTGATCCCTCACTCCCCCGTCTTTTCCACAGAAAACCCATTTTTGTTCTACAGAACACTCAGACAATTTGTCTTCTTTACTTGATAATAAATCACAGCGCCCACAGTCCCAACATCCAAAGTGTGTTTTGAAGACTGTATCTATATGTATATATCTATAGAACATTTTTTTAAAAGAAAAAGTTAAAAGTTGTATGTGGAGTTATTTATTTGGTAACAAGGAAGAACCAATTAGATCAGCCAATTGCTCAAGCCCAGAGGGTTATCTGCACAGCTGCCCTTTGGTCCAGGGAGAAGACCAGGTCCATGGTAGACCAGGGTTCAAATCCCACCTCAGCCGTGAAGCTCACTGAGTAATCTTGGGCCGGTCATTGTATCTCAGTCTAACTTAACTTAACAGGGTTCTTGCAATGATAAAACGAAGAGGGGAAAGAACCATATAGGCCACCTGGAGCTCCTTGGAAGAAAGGCAGGGCATAAATATTATAATAAATTAAACAAAAACAGCCAGAGGGCATCAGGCTGCATTATGCACTCTTGCGATGGACTCAGTTACCAAACTGCTAGCATGAAGAAGGAACCCAGTGATAGAGAAAGCTGGGGAGGCAGATATCCAGCCTCTGGCTAATTATTTTCCTCATTCTCCAACTTTGATGTTCATCTGCCTTCTGTGGCAGATGATGTTTTTTCAAGTAAAACTTGAAAGCTTCATCAACACCACATTCACTTGCCAGAGCAAGGAGCGTCCTTCAGATGCCTGGCACTCTTGCAGATGATGCATCATTCCTGTTCTAAATATATATACATTCCTAGATCTCTGTTCTCCTTCCACTACACTACACTACGCGGGCAGCCTTGAGGTGGCAAACCAGACTCCCAGAGAGAACAATTTACACCTGAATCTCTCCCAAACTAAATACCAGGCCTCTACAATAGGCATATTATTTTAATAACTGATGTAACCAGAAACTCTTGGATGTGTACAGAAATAAATAGAGCCTTTGTTAACCACAGTAACTGTACTAGGATCAGTTTTATTGCGGGGAGGGTTCCCCATTAAAGGGGAGGGCTCCTCTGATGCTAATAAAAATGTCTATGCTGTAGAAATTGCTTGTGAATAAAATAAATTATTCAAGCTTTGGAAATTATTGTGATCTGTAGACATATTAATGGAGATGTTGAAATCCCGAGTGAGTACTCTGTGGCAGTGCTTTTTTCCCTAGAAAAATAGGTGCCGGTATTCACTGTGAAGCTGCTACAAACTTTTTAACAAAACAAAAAAGAAAGGTGCCAGTACTGTGTACCATCTAGTACCTCCTTGTGGAGGAACACTGCTCTGCAGCCCTCTGTGGAGATGACATAGCAGCGCCACAAGCCTCCACATGTAGAGATGGCTGGCTTGGTAAGTGACAGAGACCCAGTTCACACTTCACCTCATCATCCTGGGATCCACTTCCCCTACAGTGACTTCTTCCCACACTATTCCAGCAGCATGTAGAGAGACCCAGGTTTAAATGGCCACTCAGGCATGAACCCACTCAGTACGTCAAGGGTTCTCCAACCAGGGCTGTGAACTTCATTCTGTTGGTCTATGGCACGTCCGTGACCAGAAGGGAGTTGGCAGTCATGATGGGAGAAGTAGAAGTGGCCACCCACTGAGTTGTTAATTTAAGTGGATGATTGACAACAAAGAAATTTCTCTGCGCATATAGACCAAGTTGCAAACAAACAACAACAAAATAGAAAACAGCTAAACTAGTAATGTCTTGAGCAATATATAGGAAAGCAACTGAATTAGAAATGCCTTGGGTAATTTATTAGGACACTTGTTTTGATTATCTCAAAGTTAAAGAGGCAATTCCAGGGCAAACCATTTCCAGATTCAAAAGTCCTGTCCCAGCTGGACACAGAATGCCACCATTGTTGCCCAAATGTATACGTTCAATTAAGTGCATCTGAAATAATTTTACCATTCTGCTAAGAGAGAGAGAACTGGATTTGAGCACCGAATTAGCTTCAGTGTGACAACTGTAAGTTATTGATTGTAGATAACTCCACAGCTCCGTTAAAACAGCAAGTTTTTATCTGATGTTTGGAGTGCGGCAGGAACAAGATGATCTCTCCCATTCCATTTAGTTCAGAGATGAAGGACTCTCTCCCATCAGCCCCAGTGAGACAATTAATATGGGGGGAAATTAATATGGGGGGAAAGAATGGTCATCCAACAGCATCTAGAGGGCCACAACTTCTCCTTCAGCTTCATTGGTATCTTTTCCTCATTCAGATGCATTGATAAAACATGCAAAGAAGTAACCCGGACATGGCAGTACAGATGGAAGCATTCAGGCCTGGGATTTGCAGTGTTTTAGGAACAGAGGCTGATAGGAAGTTGCCAATACCCTGAGTTAGACTACTGGCCTGTCTAGTCAGCCATGTCTACACTTCTTGGTAGTGGATGTTCTTCAGGATTTCAGACAGAGTTCTTTCTCATCCTTACCTGGAAATGCCAGAAACTAAACCTGGGACCTTCTTCGGAGAAAGCACACTGAGCCTTTCCAACATTAGCAGGGACTGTGGGCTATTTTACGGATTCACAAATACACTCCTGAACCTTGGTCAAAGACAGAAGAAAAAGAACCTTCATACAGCCAAGTATCCTCTTTTCCTACATTATAAGCTGTCCTGAGTATTGCTATAAAGTACTCTATCTATCTATCTATCATCTATCTATCTATCATCTATCTATCAGTACCTCTTGCAAGCATTGCTCAAGATGCTACACTTGCTAGACCCTCACAGATGAAAAATCACAGCATGGGAAAAACTGGTGTTCGTATCGACCTACATTTATTTTATTTTTTAATTATCTTCACTGATTTTTTTTTAAAAGTATAACAACAAACATACATCTCCTCAACCCTGCCTGCTCCCTTTCTTGCTTTGAATGCATAAGTGATTTCAGCCACAAATTCAGCACTGACATTTGACATCTCCATTGCCTCCCTTTTCATAGAAATGGGCATTGCCAATAGACTAGAAGAGAAGCATACCTCTTTCGGACTTCTAAGTAGACAAACATCCCTGGTATTACAATTTTGTTTGTTTTCTTGCAATGAGGAGCAATGTGGATCCACTCTTCAACACGACTGGTAACATTACGAGCACCTACTCTATAGAGCCCAGGTTCAGTTCTTGGCATGTCCAGGTAGCGCTGGGAATGCCCCTTGCCTGAAACCCTGGAGAGCTACTGCCAATCAGTGTAGACAATATTGAGCTAGATGGACCAAGGGTTGAGAGAATCTCTGCCTGCAGGCATGGAAGTAGATGGAGGTTTATGCTAATCCTGGTCTGTGTTTGCTACTACTTGAACCTTCAAAATTATGTCAGCACCACAGACCAGGGTGCCCTTCCCAAATAGTTCTGGCACTTCAGAAACCCATTAGTGACTTTCGAAAGCCATCGCCGCTGATGTACAAAGGACTGCAGATCTCAAAAGAGACGTAAGAAGTCCACTCAATTCACATTAATGGGTACTGACATCAGAATGTCTCTTGGCTTTGTTTAGAACCAGCTTTGTTTGCCTGAAAGTTAATTGCAATTGTTAATTGCCTGAAAGTTAAAAAAAAGATCTGAATAAGCAGGAACCTTAAAAATGAGTTCGGGGCGACCCCTCTGTTTTTCCTTGTACTGTATACAGAATGGACACTCTGCATTTCTGGGAAAGGAAGCAAAAACATTCTTTGATAAAATGCCTGTGAAGGAATTCAAGTTCTTTTAGCGCAAAAAATTCTCATTTGAAGAGGGGATTTCTTACCACGGCATAACAGCATGCACATGTATGTCACAGACTCAAAATATAGTAAAAAGAAAAAAAGGAAGCTCTAGGACAGGCATCCCCATCTTTCAGCCCTCCAGATGTTTTGGAATACAATTCCCATCATCCCTGACCACTGGTCCTGTTAGCTAGAGATCATGGGAGTTGTAGGCCAAAACATCTGGAGGGCCACAGGTTGGGGGTGTCTGCTCTTGGACATAATCCAAGAGAATTGCTGGTTTCAGTATGTAAGGTTGTATAAATATATACCTCAAGCTCCAGTCAAGGGAATAATCTCCCGGTTCATTCACTGTGAAGTAAACACATTTTATTGGTTGAAATAGCTCACCATACTTCAGTATTTACACTTCTCAGACACACACACACACACACACACACACACACACACACCATGACCACCCAGATGTCTTCAAGAAGTCCATGAGAACATCAACAATGGTTACAGAGATGGCAAGACTCTGGTTGTACTCAGGCTTCTGTGATGGGATCTTTGGAGCCAGAGAGTGGAAACGATAAATCCGTGGGCCACGGAGCAATGACACTATGGGTTTGTCCTGTCTGGGGCTGATCCTGGGTGCAGCTCCCCTTCTGATGTGGAGTCCACAACCTCACCCACTGAAGAAGGAGCATCTGCCCCCAGCGTCATCACACTCACATACTTCATCCTCCCTCTAGGGAGGAATTGTCAGAGTTCAAGGACACATTCCAGCCAAGAAATGAAGTGGATATGGGAACAAAGGCGAGGCCACATTTAGCTCTCAAGCCTCAGGCTCCACACCCCCAATGTACCCATGCTAATGCCTCAGAAATCTGCCCAGTGGAATGCAGCCCATGAGTTTTCCATGGCAACTGCTGCAGAGAGGGATCCCATGGACCACCTTAATGCAGATACCCTCCCAATTGTATGTACAACTTTGGGAAGGGACAAGCATGGGCCGAACACCCATGGCCCTGTATTCCCAGTTCGCACAGTATTGACTGCATGTAAGTGAATGTCTGAATAGTGGACACTCGTTCATTAGGGTGAATGAGGCACTGCTCTACCCACTTCAGTCTGCTCTCACCCCCTCATACCTGCTAATTTGCCACCTATCTCAGGAGAGGAGATTCCCTTATGGAACTCAGCAGAGAGCAGACCAGGGACAAAACAAGAATTAGGCCACATTCACACCATGCATTTAAAGCACTGTTATGCCACTTTAAACAGCCATGGCTTCCCCAAAGCATTCTGGGAGCTGCACTTTGTTAAGGGTGTTCAGAGTTGTCAAGAGACTCAAATTCTCCTCACAGAGTTACAATTCTCAAAGTAGTTTGAGAGACAATTCCTCTTCACAGGGAACAACTTTGTTATTGGGCATGTTGTAAGACTTTTAAAAAAGCAACCAATGTTGAATCTAAGGAGCAACCATGCAAAATGCCTGAGAGAAGAAAATGGTTGAAAGCAAGACCAGAAACTTATTTCAATGTTCTCTGATTTGCTCAATAATTCGCACTTCTTTTGCATGGAAAATACACAGCATAAGAATCAACAAGGTTAAAATAAAAAAAGCCTCTCACTTCAGAGGGGGGAAAGAGAGGAGGATTTTTATCTGTGATTTAGTATGTTACAAATAGGTTGTACAAAAAAACACTGAATTAATTTTTAAAATACCATTAAAAATCTTTGGATGCTAATTCCTGACGCATTTTAATTTCTTTCATGAGTCACTTCTACAGCCAGACCATTACTGATTGTCACACTGGAATAATTAATTTCATTACTCTACTTCAAAATCAAATTAATACTGAATAGAAAATATTATTGAAAACAAACACTGAGAACAATAGTCCAATCTCTTAGTCTCTCCCTGCATGGTTTTTCTTATTACACATGGGGTAAAAAGAAAGAAAGAAAAAGAAGTCAAATATCCAGAAAGTGCTAGAAGGTCCCTTGGATGTGGTGACACTTCAGCCTGAGGGCAGCTTGGTTTTTCAAGACTACACATCTGGAGGAAATCCAGAAAAGCCACATGAAGGTTTGGCATCTGCGACCTAGTGGCAAAACTACATGATCTACATTTAATACAGAGACGGCTAGGTAAACATCATTTGTCGTTCGGAGGCTTCTTTCTAGCTTCCACGTCTCTCTTGATGTCTTCAATCTTCTTTGAAATGTTCGGAACCTATTTGAAAGCAGAACAGGATATCAGAATCTTCTACTGTTCACAGAATTCTTTGTCTGTAGCATGGCAATACCATCAGTAGGCCAACCAAAATGCCACAATGCAGTGAGCAAGCTTTCCATTTATCTTCATCAGTCTGTGTGGTAAGAAAGGCTGGGTGTTTGGCAGGTGGGCAGGGGGAAGAGAATTATTGTTTGGTTCTGAAACCCTACAACAGGGCTCTCTCTTTCTGTCTCTCTCTTGTTCTGGTGTTCTATACGTAGTATGCTTAGTGTTAAGGTTTAGACTTATTATAAGTTATTGTAAGTTTAAGTTAAGTCTGCTGCAACTGGATTTCTTATGGACAGTGCCAATCCTGTATGTATTGGATTTGTGACCATTATGCTTATTTGCCTTCAGTAGCAGTAAAGCTCTATTGGATGAAATACAATTGCCTTTGGTCTATTTTTGGGGAATCCTGCAACGTGTTTAAGTTGTTACTGCGCTAACTATACGTTGGAATCTGCTCTGGATTATATTGAGTAGAATTTCAATGATATCGCCAAACTTTTTGGGCCAGTGGAAGCACTGGGATTTTGAGAAACTGCTATGGGCACCTGTTACAAAATGGCTGCTGTGGAGGCTACATCACACAAAATGGCTGCCAACTCTAAAGGGCAGAAAAATATACTGCACAATGAAATGATGTGGGCATGCCCCCCTTCATCTATTGTGTGAGGCGGGAAGCGCCTACATCAGGTCCTGCTTGTGGGCTTCATCTGGTTGGCCACTGTGAGAACAGGATGTTAGATTATATAGATCACTGGCCTGATCCAGCAAGCTCTTCTTATCTTTTTATGTGTGTTAGATAAGGGTCAATGCAGCTGACTCCGTTTTTGGACTCTCCATAGGGGTATGAATATAGGGTCTGTCATGATGGGCTCCTGCACTTCAAAATTTGCTGATAGACAACTGGTACTGACTTTTAAAATATATCAGATTAACAAGGAAACAGGACAGAGTGGATTTCTAAGTGAACATGTGAAAATGGTATGAACCAGAACATGGAACTGCCTTACCACAAAACTGCAACCCCATAAACAATGTTAATAGAAGCTCAGCAATAGGAAACTAGCAAAATAATACTTACATCATAGTTCTGGGCCAGATACATCCCAACTACATTGCCAAGTGCAAAACCAACCTAAAGAAGAAATAAAAAGGATAGACAAAGATTATACTTTTCTCCCATCTGGTGAATGTGCTTAAGGATATAGCTTCTTTTCCATTAAGCTTTTTGAAACAAAAAAAACTTTTTGCCAGTTTCAAAACAAACCTGATACTCATTAAAGTGTTTGTCACATTCTCAGCTGCTGGTTTTTGGCAAGTCGTTTCTGCTGCTCATAATGCTTGCTTCGGAAGTTAAGCTACGTAGCAAATACTGTAATTAATTCCTTCAGTCATGATTTTCAGTACAAATGCAGGAATTTTGTAAAAATTTCAAACACTTCCTAGCACTTGACAAGCGCCAGGGGATTTTTTTCATGGGTGTGGTGATGTTATGTAACATGCTAAAGGCATGGGGGGGGTCCCCCTCCTTCTCCCTACTGCCATTGCTGCTTGCAAAGGAGAAAGCCGCTGCTTCCTCTTTGCTGCAATTGCCTCTCACCAACTCATCCACTCCGGGCTGGAGCACAAGCGATCAAAGGGGTGCCAATAATTAAACTGAGGGGTAGCAGAGCAGGCAGCGTCTCTGTGGTGGGCCCCTTCCCAGGTCATGGACCTTGGTGGATGTCCAACCATGCCATGCCCTGACCCCTGACACTGGATCCAATATGACTGCATGCCCACTATGAAATTGTCATAGATCTAGGATGGGGAACCACAGACTCAAGAGGCCAAATGTGGCCTTCAGGACTCTCCCCAAGCTGCACATGTCTTTCACGGGGCACATCTTCCTTGAGTGTTTTTGACTACTGGAAATGTGCCACTAAACATCAACAAGGTCTCTTGGTTTCCTGGAAGGAAGGCGGAGAAAAGTGTCTGTACACATATCAACTTTTGTGTGGTAGAAATGCACAAAGGTTTCATCCACTTCTCTGCCTACGTTTGCATCCGCTCCCAACCACCACTGGTATATGGCCCCCAAAAGACTACCCATGAAGAAATACGGACCTCAGGCTGAAAAAGACTCCGAAACCCTGACTTAAGACAGACTAAAGGTTTATCCTAACCCAGCAGTGACCACTCTATGCAAAAGGGTTTTTGTTTTTCCCAATCCAGCATCTGAGAGCTTGGGCCTCGTAAACCTCTTCCATCTGGATGATAAAGTCCTCAAATCTTGCAATGTTAAATGGATAAATAAATGTGTCGCCAAGTGGTGAAAATATTTCAATGCCTGTGGTTGCTGGTTTAACCACAAGAGGATCTATTTTTCAGCCACAAAAGAAATGCAGATTTTATTGCCACTGGGTGTAGAAAGAGCTGTGGAATAAAAAAATATGTACAGTAAAGTTAAAATTGCCTTAAATAATTAAACTTGGAAAAGTGGGGACACTATTTCAGGAGCTGAGAATTCATATATCACACTTTGTAGGAGCTAGTCAATCTAGTGCTTGCAACAGGAGAGCAAAGCCAATTTCGGATTGTATGCACCATGAAAAACTCAGTTTCACAACCCCCTTTGGCCCAAGGTCACCCAGTAAAGCTTCATGGCTGCATGGGGTTTTGAATTGTGGACATCTGGGTCCTGGTCCAACACTCTCAACCACTACACCAGATTGGCTTGAAGAAATTATAGGTTACAAACCATACATGTTACCCTCACGCTAGGCATCTAAATGCCTCTCCAGTCATTATCGGAGAAGAACAAGTATGCAGTGAAGTCCTCACTGTTCAAGATTTTAGGGATTGGGGTTGGCAATAGCATCTTAACACATGGGTGGTAGGAGAAGGCTACGCTAGAGGAAGATGGGAACTTCTCTTTCTGCCCAATTCACTTGATTGCATTATGCTGCTTCCCCTCTGGAGATTTTGGCACCACCACTTCTTAATCTGTTGCCATTAAGTCCTGGGAGAAACTGCCTTCAAATGGGGTTTCTTCCCACCTTGCTAGAGTATCATTTCTTCCAGCAAGGAATGAAGTGGTCATCCTCCAAGTCCTTGGCAGAAGTGGAAGAACAAGAGGCAGGATTTGGGTCAGAGGAGAAATAAGGGGAGGTGACAGGAAGTATGCCTCCTCTCCCAACAATGTCTCAGGGCAGAACAGATTTTAAAAATGTCAGATTGCTAGCAAACAATCTGCCTAACCCTTAAAATCTTGCACATAAAGTTGCTTGTGGATTGGAGCTTGGTGTGCCAATATCGGAATGCCAACTTTAAGAAATAATAATAAAGTATGACTTGTTTCCTAATTAACATCCGGCTACAAGGCAGCAAGCACGCAACAGAATAATAAAGAGAGCCGGCATCTTCTGTCATGGTCATAAAACACATTCTTTTGGGGGAAATACAGTGATTAAGAAGGTTCTATGGAAAATTAAAAACTGGTTGCTCACTTTTCCATACCATCAGTTATTAACTTAATATATGACTTTTCAGGAGGATGGCACATAGCACTTATTTTTGTCAACTGGCACATTAACAGGCAACATTCTTGTTATGCATTTTCTTGTACGGGTTAAATTTTACTTGAAAAGCTAACAAAGCTTCCCCCCCCCCATGTGGGTGTTTTGATATTAATTAATTAACACATGCTACATGCAGCTAAATAGTATTTAATACTAATTTCAGTGCTACACAAAGATAAACATGGTCTAATACTCATTTCAGTGCTGAAAGTCAAACAAACAGGTTGCATGGCCATGTGCTTGATAATAGCTCCTATAAAACTGCCTTGTTTTTAAAAAAATGAGTTTGTATTACATCCATTTTACTTTGTATAATATGGTAAAGGTAAAGGGACCCCCGACCATTAGGTCCAGTCGTGATAGACTCTGGGGTTGCGGCACTCATCTCGCTTTATTGGTCGAGGGAGCCGGCGTACAGCTTCCAGGTCATGTGGCCAGCATGACTAAGCTGCTTCTGGTGAACCAGAGCAGCGCACAGAAACGCCGTTTACCTTCCTGCCGGAGCGGTACCTATTTATCTACTTGCACTTTGACATGCTTTCAAACTGCTAGGTTGACAGGAGCAGGGAACAAGCAACGGGAGCTCACCCCGTCACGGGGATTCGAACCGCCGACCTTCTGATCGGCAAGTCCTAGGCTCTGTGGTTTAACCCACAGCGCCACCCGTGTCCCATTGTGTAATATGTTATTTTATGCATATATGCTGCTTTTGCTACCCTTGAAGATGCTCTGTGTGTATATGTATGAATGAAGCCAGTTTGAGGACGGTGCCAGAACTCCAGTCTGATTGTCCTGCTACAGCTCTCAAAAAACACCCCTAGTGGCTTGCATGGTCTGGAGGTCACTTAGGAATCACAGTCTCAGAACAGTCCAGGATACAATGGCCAATTTCCAAACAAAAAAAGCCATCCTCTTTCATACAGCAAAACCAACACTTTTGAGTTTCAAAAGTAAAATAGGTTGTTGTTTTTCAAGTCACTGGCTTCTTTTTACAGTCACATTAAACAAAGAACATTGCCTTGTTTATGATTTGCTGGACTCCGCTGCATATGAATGTGCCGTCACAAAACACACAGTGTACCCCAAAGTTATTTGCCGCATTCCTTGCTCTGAAATAGTGCAGTGCCTGAAACAGGCCAAGAGACATTTAGTCTAGCTGGAAGCTAAGACATCATTTGCATCCAACTCTTCTCAAAAAATGCTTCACATCGGCACCGTATCTCTTTTAACTAACATCCTAACAAGATTTCCATCTCATGATCCAGCTCTCTCTCTCTCTCTCTCTCTCTCTCTATATATATATATCCTTGCTCTTAATCCAAACTTCTCCTCCTTGCCCATCCAGTATTTCGGTACATCTGTCCTAATTTATCTTGGTTCCAACACAGTCATGCTTACCATTCCACTCTTAGAAAACAGATTTATGGACCTCAGTGTCCTGCTTCGCTTGCCATGTACTTGCGGGTACTGAGGGGTATGGTGTGGGAACAGATTGCATCTCAAAAGCAGTACCCACTCACTCCTCCTTCGCTCCTCCCCCCACCTCTTTTGCTTTCAGGCCAACAAAACATAAAATGCGTACCGGCACCATTCCATCGATTGGTGGTCGGAAAAATTGACTGCTCTGAGGCAGTTGCTGGAGCATGTCAACGGGCAAAGCTAACCACAGATCAAATATCTATATGAGAACAACATGGTCTCAGCTGGCTCTGTCTATTTTAGGCGTGGGGAAAACTTTGGCCACCCAGATGTGGCTGAACTACAACCCCCAGCAGCCAGGGAAGAGGGGAATTGTTGTTCATTGACATCCGGTTTATTTGGACACACCTATCTTCACGTTGATGGGACACAGGTGGCGCTGTGGGTTAAACCACAGAGCCTAGGACTTGCCGATCAGAAGGTCGGCGGTTTGAATCCCCACAACGGGGTGAGCTCCCGTTGCTCGGTCCCTGCTCCTGCCAACCTAGCAGTTCGAAAGCACCTCAAAGTGCAAGTAGATAAATAGGTACTGCTCCAGCGGGAAGGTAAACAGCGTTTCCATGCACTGTTCTGGTTCACCAGAAGCAGCTTAGTCATGCTGACCACATGACCCGGAAGCTGTATGCCGGCTCCCTCGGCCAATAAAGCAAGATGAGCGCCGCAACCCCAGAGTCAGTCACGGTCAGGGGTCCCTTTACCTTTACCTTCATGTTAAGAACATAAGAATAGTCAGCTAGATCAGGCTAGTGGTTAGTTTTGGCCCAGTTCTCCATTCTGTTAAGGCCATCTTGCATCCTGATTCTCTCTTCTGTGGCATTCTGTGTCAGGTGAAGCCTGATATCAGAGCATGTGGGTGGGGAAAGGGGTGGTGTTTCCATTTGGCAAGCTGTGATGCTTTGTGCAGATGGAAAGTTCATCACAGCACAACACTGAATCCCACCCTCAGAGTTTAGGGTAGTGGCAACCATGTACTCTGGCACATTTATTTCGGAGTTCATAAAAGGTCAGTTCCTGAAGCAAAATACCCTCCCCCTGTGGGGCCTACACACAGCTCATTTTCCGATATTTTAAAGTACTTTTTACTTGCTGCGGCATCTGCAAGTGGATTTAAATAGTCTTAGGAGGGAAAAAGCTGGCAGCCCGTTTGACAATCGGCAATTTGCATGCCAAGTGAGGACTGCAAAACACTAGCTGGAATGTATAGGGCTTCCCACAGTTATCCTAATTTTATGCATAGTCCTTTAAAAAAGCACATAGTTACTTTGGTCTTTTGAAAAACAAAAGCCCCGTTTATGAGATTATCCCTTTATCTGCCTGCAACAGTCTTAACTAGGAAGGAGCAGAGTCCCGACACTGTAAGTTACCAAAACAGGGAAGAGAAGGCAAGGCTGAATATGTCAGCTTTTCCCTCTTCCATTCTTCTGGTTCTCAGACACTAATCAGAAAGTCTTCCACAGAAGTGATTTTTATTGTGGATTTGCAATGCAAGAGAACATCAGACATCTACTCCAGAGGAATAAGAGACAAAGCCAGAGAAATAAGAGACGTCCTTCGAACAATTCCGACTTTGCTTTGGATTGTGAAGCATTTAAAAAAGAAAATCAATAGCAACAACAACAAAAGGCCGACTCTCAACAAAGATCAGCATCTGAGCTAGGTAGCTGTATAAATAAAAGAGAAAAACAAATTAAAGTCTGATTTACTGTAAAATTACACAAACACCCACAATAATTTAATTAAAAGTCTGGACTTGGAATGAAATATGGGCACAGGATGCCATTTACAACAGCCTTCCCTAGTCTGGTTGTCCTCCAGATGTTTGGGACCACAGATCCCATCAAAGCCAGCCAGCATGACCAGTGGTCAGATGAAGTCAAAAAAACATCTGGAGGAACCTGGTTAGAGAAAGTAGCTTTAAAGGTTGCAAGACTCTCTAAGCACATCTCTGAGCCACAATCACCAGGAGCATCACATACAAAGCCCCCCAAAACCCCAGAACTTTAATATGTAGACCCTCCACACAGAGCAACTTTATTAAAATTGGACAGACAGATGTGCTGCCTGGGGGCTGATTTGTAGGCCTGTGATTTCCAAACCGTGCTGCAAGAAGATAGTAAGATCACCTCCCAGGGAAAGCCTAGGTGAACAGATGAGTTTAAAGTAGGTGCCTAAATGCCAGTAACTAGGTGCTCGTCTGATGTTCACTGGGAGCGCATTTCAAAGGGAATGTGCAGCCATACCCAATGCACAGATTGCCCAAACTTCGAAAACCTACTGCGCATCAGTTTGCCATCCTATGCGTCTTCCACGGAACTCTTGCACATTTTAGAGGATGCTACTTCCCTGTATTTTCAGGAATTCTTTTTTTTTATTAGCAATTTCAACATGACAACTTATCAAAACATAACATATTCATTATTTCCCCCCTTTTTCCCCCACCCCTCAAACCCTCCCTCCCCTCCCCCAGAGACATCCCTCAGCTCCTCTCTCTGATTTCTCAGCACATATTATTCTCTGCATATTATAAAATTATACAAATCCTTACATTATCCGTCTGCCATGTTATCAACAGTAAATCTACATATGTTTATTCAAAACCTGCCAAGAGTCCAATTCATTTTGTTGTGTTTTTAAATAGTTTGTATAAAGTTCCCATTCTTCCTCGAAGTCACAGTTGTCCTTGTCTCGCAATTTGTATGTCAATTCAGGAATCCTTTTTAATGGTTATGCTGAGATTATGTTGCTTGGCCACTGTGAGAACAGGAAGGTGGACTAGGTGGACCCCTGGCCTGATCCAACAGACTCATCTCATGGTTGCCTTGGGCCAGTCACTCACTCTCAGCCTGATCTACCTCGCAGGATTGTGGCAGGGACATAGGAAGCTGCCTTAGACTGAGTCAGAGCACTGGTCCATCTAGCTCAGTATGATCTATCTATGCTGACCAGCAGTAGCTTTCAATGGTTTCAGACGGGTGTATCTCCCAACCGTATGTGGAGGTGCCAAAGACTGAACTAGAGACCAGCATACAAAACATGTTCTCTTCCACTGACCTATGGCCTTTTGTGTTCCAAGTTCCCGGGAGGAAGGGTGGAATAACAATGCAGTTCTATTGCCTCTTGCTCAAGCACACAGAATGTCTTTCAATAAGAGACCCGGTAGCTCTGTTTATGGGACCATGGTCCTAATGTTTACTGCAAAGGAGACATGTGAACCTCTGAACTTTACATGCATCTTACTAATGCCTGATCAAAATATAGCCAAAGCTCAGGAAGCAAACATCTGTGTGGCACTGTATTTCAAGAAGTGTAAGAATCAGGGATGTCGTGAGTTGCCCAAGGGAGTCCCAGGAATACAGCAGGAACAATCCAGTGGAAAATAAAAGCACGTATTTCAAATTCAATGGGACAGTTCATTTCAATGGGACAGTTAAGCATATGCTTGACCCCTCCCCACAGAAATGGCTTTAAAGTGCTTATGTGGCTGGCTCAAGGGTGGCTAGGATTAGTATCCTGAGCCATTATGGAAGATCTTGACAGGGAGGTGAGTAATCAGGTGATTGCAGGGAATCTCTGGCCTGCCTGGCTTATAATGGCCAACCAGCAGACATCCAGACTTCTACTGACTATGGATAGCTTATTTGGGACAGCATAAGACTCTTAATCTCAGGGCCATGGGTTTCAGCCCCACGTTGGGTAAAAGATTCCTGCATCAAAAGGGGGTTGGTCTAGATGACCCTCATGGTACCTTCCAACTCTACAAGTCTGTGATTCAGGTTCTCAGTGTTTCACCTGAGAATGCTGGGAAGTTGTTCAGCTCTTGGTGCAGATGCCCTGGCCAGAAACCATTCCATCTCCAGCATCCCACCTTCCCTTTTTAACACGGCAGTGGAGCAAGCAGTAGTTGTTTTGCAATAGGGTAGCAACTATGCATCACGGAAAACAGCAAGAGAGAACACCAATGTGCATAAGATTTGCATTTGCTAATATATATGTAATACAGTGGACGCTCGGGTTGCAAACGTGATCCGTGCGGGAGGCACATTCGCAACCTGCAGCATTCGCAACCCGCAGCGCCGCGTCTGTGCACGTGCGGGTTGCAATTTGGCACTTCTGTGCACGCACCGAAACCTGGAAGTAACCTGTTCCAGTACTTCCAGGTTTTGGCGCATCCGTAACCTGAAAATGCGCAACCTGAAGCGTCTGTAACCCGAGGTATGACTGTACATTATTTGCAGTACACTGATACATGTGGCTGATTTACCTATCCACATGAGGGTGTGACTACATTTCTGAACCAATATTTAGAAATCTGAAGTTCCATTAATTCAACATCCAGGTTGAAACATAAGAAAAACTCTGCTGGATCTGCCCATAGGTCCATCTACTCTGTCATCCTGTTTTCAATGGGCAACCAGTTGCCAGCAGGAAGCCTGCAAGCGAACAGGACCAGAGCACAACAGCCCTCTCCCAAAGAACTTGAGATGACATGCACAGAATTATGCTGTTCAGTCCCATTGATTTCAAAAGGGGTTTATTCCCAGGTATGTGGGTCTAGGATTGCAGCAGCAGCTCAGTGAAACAAACAGGGGAAGAGTAGAAGACATGCACCTTATCAGGCATGAAACGAGTTGAACTTTGGATATGGACAAGTTAATATCTTGTTTTTCTAGAGACAGCTAGAAAAAGAAAAAGGAAACCCACAACTTGGAAACTTCTGGTATGTTGTGGGCACTAACAACAACTGGTCCAGCAAACTGCCTGGCTGTGTGAAAGGTCACAGGGATAAATATGTCAAAATGCATTAACAAATATCAGGAGCTATCACCAAAGCACTTAAGCAAAACTGATGCAAAGATATTGTTGCATCAATCTAAAAGGAAACGCATAGGCCCCCAATGGATCAAAATCCAGGGAATCCCAAAGAGAAATTTGACAGGCAAATAGTACAGTGGTACCTCTGGTTACGTACTTAATTCGTTCCGGAGGTCTGTACTTAACCTGAAACTGTTCTTAACCTGAAGCACCACTTTAGGTAATGGGGCCTCCCACTGGCGCCACGCCGCCAGAGCACGATTTCTGTTCTCATCCTGAAGCAAAGTTCATAACCCGAGGTAGTATTTCTGGGTTAGCGGAGTCTGTAACCTGAAGCGTATGTAACCTGAAGCGTATGTAACCCGAGGTACCACTGTAATTGTGTTGGTCCCCAATAATGAGAAATACACTCTTAAGATGGTGGAGCACCCAGTTTTGAGATGCACTATTGAGCACATCAGGCATGATCTAGCCTACTGCAGCCACCAGCACGGCAGAGGTGGGGAATCTATAGCCCTCCAGACATTGTTGGGACTACAGCTCCCATCATCCCTGGCTGTTGGCCATGCTGACTGGGGCTGATAGGAAATGGAGTTCAGCAATATCTGGAGATCCACAGGTTCAATAGTTCCAATATATATACAGGACACAATTAAATGGCTTTATTTAAAACAACAACCAGTGTTGTTTTCTGAGATATGTTAAGGGGTTGTACGGCCTCTGGAAAGCGTTGTCAGGCTGCATGAAATAGACAGCTTAAGGCAGAAGGCATACAAAGATGACAGTGTGGGAAAGCAGCTTGATTGTGTTTGAAAAGACAAAATAAGCCCAGGAATGTATCAGGAAGGTGCTAGGAACAAGCAAGGGGAGATGGCTGCTATCTTGATGCCCTGCTTGTGAGTTTCCAAAGACATCACTAATGGAAAGAGAACATTAGGCTGGCCAGACCTTCCTCAGAGCAGTTATTCCGCTCTTATGATTTGTAAGTGGAACAGAAGAGCACTTAACCCATGTGAAATGATGCTGAGAAAATACTGAACAGTGTCATTACAACAGCAGTTTACAGACACTACCAAATAGATGCCATATTACTGAGCTGCTGACAGCTGCCACAAATGTGGGTCAGGAGAAAGCTTTCATCCTTAGAACAATTGGGATGGGGAAACATTAGATGCCTCTGTTTTTGTCTCTGTTTGTTTGTAAGTTGCTTTGAGCTGGCCTGGGTAAGACAAAAGCGACCAACAAATTTAATAAACAACAACAGACCTTGGGCGTGGGAAGGGATATACAGTGGTACCTCAGGTTACAGACGCTTCAGGTTACAGCCTCCGCTAACCCAGAAATAGTACCTCGGGTTAAGAACTTTGCTTCAGGATGAGAACAGTGCTCCAGCTGCGTGGCGTTAGCGGGAGGCCCCATTAGCTAAAGTGGTACCTCAGGTTAAGAACAGTTTCAGGTTAAGAACGGACCTCTGGAACAAATTAAGTTTTTAACCCGAGGTACCACTGTATAAGTTTCCAGGCTCACAACACAACCTTCTTTGTGTATCTACTCAGAAGTTTGAAGTCAGAGGGACGCACTCCCAAATAAATGTTTTACGGTGCAATCCTACACACACCTAGCCCACTGCTTATCTTGGGGTTTACTCCTACTTACAGGCTTGCCCTCTCGATGCCTTAATTTATTCCTCTGCTCATTTAAAAGGTGGGGGTGTCTTTCGTAGGCAAACCACCCTTTTTCTCTTCTAGAGGCCCAATGTGACAGCAAATTCGCCTCTCTTCCTCTGCCCTCACTAGATCGCGGGATCAACTGGTCGAAATCCGGGTGACCTACTACTGTACAGCAAATCGGTAAGAGTTTCTTGACTCCCACTCTGTTTTACAGTGGCAGCAAAAGAGAGACCTTCCAAACTAATGAAAGGAAGACAGTTAGCCAAGGTTACACTTTCCCCTGAAAGCACCGCGAGCTGAGTTCAAGTTCTGGAACTGAAAACGGGGATCTGTGCCCATTCTAACTATGTGCTCTTTTGCGCTCGGCCCTGGTTGGGGGATCTGAGCGAGAGAGAGAAAGAGAGAGAGAGAGAGAGAGAGAGAGAGATCCAAAGGGCACCTTCGATCCTGACGCCTGCCCACCCCTGCCCCAAGCCAACCCAGCCTCTGCGCCCCTGGGAAAAGACTCACCAAAAACTGAAACATGGTGCCTGCGCGCAGCCGCCTTTTTCCGCCCCTCCGTTTCCAGTTGGAGAGCCTCGCGCGCAGCACAGAGCATCTTCTCTTCCGGGTGCCCGCCTCCCAACCCAACTCCGGCTTCCCTCACTGGCTGAGCCTTTAGATGGGCCTCTCAGGAGCCCTATCCGGGGGTGCTCCTTGCTTTCTCGGCGGCGCGCACCTTAGGCAGCCTCGCTTCCTCCTCTCTCTGCCCTCGTAACTCCGGGAAGGAAGCGCGCGCAGGCTGATGATTCAGCGGCGAAGGTGGCGCTTGGCTAAGCTCAGTTTGCGGCGCCGACCGAGCTGCTTCCGTTAAGTTGCTTGGCCAGGATCTCCATACGCGCAATTCCCAGGCTTGCATCCTGGGGAGGAAGTTACTTGGGTGCTGCTGGCGCAGTGGTTTGACTTCACCCCCCAGAGGCGCACGGCAGAGACATCTCTGGAGACAGACGGATACCAACAACAGTACCACCACCTGCGGGTCGCAGGGAGGTGTACAATATAAAAACACAAAAATGCATAACAGTAACAGTCATAATGATACATACACACAGATACACACACACACACACACACACACACACACACACACACACGAGTTTAAAAATCCATAGAAAGTTAGCCCAAGGCCTGGGAGAAGAGGAATATTTTGTCTGCTGCCTAATGAAGAAGGCGCCAGATGAGCCTCCCTGGGGAGAGGATTCCACAAGCAGGGAGCCAGCCTTCATCATTTTGGTGGTTCTTTTTCAGAACTTTTCCCAACTCTTAGAATTGCCTTTTGCAAGCAAGGTGACCAGAACTGCAGCCATGCAATCCCATGCATATCTGTTGTTTAGTCTTGGACTCTTTGTGACCCCATGGACCAGAGCATGCCAGGCTCTCCTGTCTTCCACTGCCTCCCACAGTTTGGTCAAACTCATGTTAGTAGCTTTGAGAACACTGTCCAACCATCTCGTCGTCTGTCGTCCCCTTCTCCTTGTGCCCTCAATCTTGCCCAACATCAGGATCTTTTCCAGGGAGTCTTCTCTTCTCATGAGGTGGCCAAAGTATTGGAGCTTCAACTTCAGGATCTGTCCTATAATTATATGTGTGTGTAGCTGAGGCTCCAATACTTTGGCCACCTCATGAGAAGAGAAGACTCCCTGGAAAAGACCCTGATTTTGGGAAAGATTGAGGGCACAAGGAGAAGGGGACGACAGAGGATGAGATGGTTGGACGGTGTTCTCAAAGCTACCAGCATGAGTTTGACCAAACTGGGGGAGGCAGTGGAAGACAGGAGTGCCTGGCGTGCTCTGGTCCATGGGGTCACAAAGAGTCCGACACGACTAAACGACTAAACAACAACAACAGTGTGTGTGTTTCTGTTAACAATGTGCTTTACTGTCCCAATCAAGAAACTTCTTAAAAATAAAAGTTTTTTTGTAATTGTAGAATGAAACAATGCCATTTTGCTGATGACGGAATGAAATGTGTGTGTGTTTCGTTCCACCACTACATTCCACAAATCTCCCATTTTTGAATGGACGTAGCCTTGCTACTTCAACAAAGTTGAATGAGTCAATGGAGGGCACAGAGGAAGTTGTTTGTTATTATAGCTGATAAACGGGATTCATGTATCAAAATGGTCATGTTTTGTCTTAGCTGTTAGAAATGCATTCAAGTTTGTTGAATAATGAAATTTTACAAAACAAACACAAGATGGCACCAGAGACCCACATTAGTGGATTTTTCTCAGTGGAGATACTTTATTCATTTAATGACCACAGAAACGGAGTCATAAGGCATACAATTTGGACAAAAAAGTTGGTTTCCAGGTGGAAAAATCAAAATTGGAAACAGAATTGTTAGATTCCAAAACTAAGAATTTGTCAAAAATGTATAACTTGCTGTTGAAATGGAACACTCAGGATGAAACGGTGAAATCAGCTATGATTAAATGGGCACAAGATGGGAACAGTTGACTGGGAACAGTTATGGACCACAGGTATGAAATTCACGGCATGTAATGCCCTAAGAGAAAATTTAATGAAAATGATTTATAGGTGGTACATGACACCAGTCAAGCTTGCAAAAATTTACCATTTGCCCGACGATAAATGTTGGAAATGTAATGAGACGGAAGGTACATTCTTTCACCTTTGGTGGACATGCCCAAGGATTAAGACATTCTGGGAGATGATTTATAACGAAATGAAAAAGGTATTCAAATATACCTTCCTGAAGAAACCAGAGGCCTTTCTCCTGGGCATGGTCGGCCAATTGGTGCTAAAGAAGGATAGAACTTTTTTTATGTATGCAAACAACAGCAGCAAGAATACTCATCGCGAAGTATTGGAAGACACAAGATTTACCCACCCGGGAAGAATGGCAGATGAAGTTGATGGACTATATGGAACTGGCGGAAATGACTGGCAGAATCCGAGACCAGGGAGAAGAGTCGGTGGAAGAAGACTGGAAAAAGTTTAAAGACTATTTACAGTAATACTGTAAAATTAATGAATGTTAGAAAAATGTTGGAATGAAGTTATATGGCTTTAGTAGAAAAGTTATAAGGAATTAAGTATAAATAGATTAATAGAGTATTAAAGGAAAAAATAAGGTTAGAATGAGTTAAGATAATTATAGGATAGAAAACAGAGGAAGATGGAAAGGAATTGCTGAAATAATTAACAGAAGTGGAATACAACAAGGGAGGTGTGAGGAGGTTGTGGAAATAAGTGAATGAAAGATGGGATAATGAAATTGTTTGATTTATTTTATTGTTTTTGTTTTGTTTTGTTTTGTTAGTTTAATGTATTGTATTGTTTTTTTAGTGTTTAAATTTTTGGAAAAGTAATAAATATTATTTAAAAAACAGAAACGGAGTCATACTCTCCAATCTACAGGGGGCAAATTTGAACATTTTCCCATCCAGCTATATACCTGTGACTCTCAAGGAATTTTTGGACTCCAACTCCCATCAACCCCTTTCATTTCATGCTTATATTTCCTTCAGTAATTGATATAAGCAAACTTTGTAAATAAACCTAGCACAATGACATTTTGGGCAATGGAAGCTAGATGGCAATGTTTCCCTTTGCAAATAGTTTAATCATTCCTCCACAATAATTAGGAACATGTTCAGCTTTTTCAAGTTCTGGGGTTTTTTGTTTGTTTTGCAATTCACATACATGGATGGTAAAGTGTAATAACAGCTGAAATATGTTGTGCTTTCCTTCCCAAAGCCACACCAGACTTTCTGTTTATTCTGGAACAGGAGACTTTGTTCTGCCGGCTTCCTTGAACCTAGCAGATCAATAACTCTGGTATTCAGCGACACATCACTGAAGTGACTTAGCAAATGTGCAGATCCCTCTGGGGAAATTTCACTGGTCTTATGCAAAGTGATTTGGTATTCTTCCAAATTCCTCGGGTGGTATTCATCTGAGGAAGACCCCCCCCACACACACACACACTTTCTACTTTGGTTTTGGCTGGTATTTGATTGGCAATGTTCACCTTACACCCATGAAATTATTTATCCAGGTTGGCCTTTGACTGCGGAGAAGGACGAAAGGCTCAGTGGTAGAGCACATGCTTTGAATACAGAAGGTCTCAGCATCTCCAGGTAAGGATGGGAGAGAACCCACTCTGAAACATTGGAGACCCACTGCCAGTCAGTGTGTGTAATATTTAGCTAGATGAACCAAAGATGATCTTACGTTCCTGTTTAAATCAGTCCTTATTTAAGAGGAAGGGCTGTAACTTAGGAGCAGAGCCTCTGCTTTGCATGCCAAAAGTCCCAGGCTCAATCCCTGATGTCTCCAGGTGCAAGATCACCTTACACGTACCCACTTGACCATTTAGATCAGGCATAGGCAAACTCGGCCCTCCAGATGTTTTGGGACTACAACTCCCATCATCCCTAGCTAACAGGACCAGTGGTCAAGGATGATGGGAACTGTAGTCCCCAAACATCTGGAGGGCCGAGTTTGCCTATGCCTGATTAAGATCAACAGAATTGGCACTACAGGTGCCACATAATTCTCATTCCACATTTGTAAGAACTTGATCATTGGGCAGCCCCTGCACTTTGGGATTAAGCAGGCTCCTTCAACATAATCTTTTCAGTGCCTGCTAAAAACATTCCCGTTTAGACAAGCCTACCCAGAGGCTTAGAAAGTTGAGGTGATTTTAATCTGTTTTAGTATTCTAACTTTTGTATGTTTTGCAGTAGGGTCGAAAAATCCGTCTCGATTTTATTGCCTTGTCTTTTTGTAAACCACTTTGAGATTTGTTTTTACAATTCAGTGGCTTATAAAGTTAATGAAATAAAATAAAGAAAAATGAACCAATACGCCTCTGCTAGGGAGTGTAGCATTACTGAGGTAGGTGGGCAGATTCCTTTTTCCAGCAGCAAATCATTATGGGCATAGGGTGGTACACTTCTACAATTTGTTTAATTGCTCCAGCATCAAGATCCAGTATCAGGCATTTCAAAGATGCGGCAACTTGACCCAACATAATAAATGGACTCGTCCCCCCTGTTCTGCTCCATCTCCGTGACATAACTAGATCCAGAGTCCATGTTTCTTCTGGCTGTGCAAAGCAAATAACTGATCTTGGAAGTGCCATATTCTCGATTTGGTATTGCCACGGGCAGTTTTCTATTTCTATTGCTCATCTGGCTTTTTCTTTCTGCCAGCACACTTTTTTTGCTCATGCATATTAAAACTGTGCTTTGTGGCAGGGGATGGGGGGGTAGCAGTTGAGAATGCAATTATGCACACAATTGGATCAGCAAGGAAGAGTGTGTGCACTCATGGTTGCCAAAAATTAAATTTAGTTTGCTGTCTCCCTCCATGAGCCAAAAAATACAATAAAAACGAACTATTTCCTGCCTTTTCATGCAACCCGAAATCCGCTGCCTGAGGTAGCTACATCACTCTGCATAACAGCAGGGCTGGGCCTGAGAAGAAGTCCCTGGAAAGGACTTCCTTGCATGAGATGTGTGGTCTTCCCCAAGCTATCATGTTTTGTCCTATATGTTTGATTATCCTTTGTTTCTACATCCTGGTTTGGTCCTTGTAAAAAAGACACCTGCATTGCAGAGTTTGGACTAGACCAGCCTCGTGGTCCCTACAACTCTACAATTCTACGATTCTATGACTCTATGATTCTACAGGCTTCTACACAGAGTGG